TGTCTTACATCAAGTCATGATAATTTGATGAATCTTGAAGTGTCTCTATTTCCCTTCTTGAATTCACTTCATGATAGGAGGGAGGGGTGGTTGTTTATTCATTGCATTTATTGATCATTGTCCAAATTGTATCCGAGATCATCAAGCAATCAACTTGCTAATTGATGGTTTTGGAGATGATTTCAACCCTCTCTTGAGTATTTTTATGATAGAGAAGGGTAAAAAAAAAGACAAACATGGCTAGGAATACCCTGTCTGCATTGTTTCACCTCGGGTACAAAAAAAAAAGATTTTCACAAGAAAACAAAGTATTGGATTTATTTGGGGCTCGACTGAGTCGCGTTTTGGGGTCGACAAGGCTCCAATAAATTGCAAAACAATATACTTTTGGTTGAAAGCAGTAACTAGGGGTGAAACAGAACAAATCCCAACAAGGCAGACAAAATAATTCCTGAGGAGCATCGAGCAATCATTGCATATTATTATTGTAATAAATTAGATAGCCCCTTTCATTTATTATTCATTCGGCTTTGTAATAATTATTTGTTCGGACACTTGGACATTCGGACCCTCCTGCGCGAGGGCAAACAAACTTGTAATACTGTGTATGTCTTCTAACCCCACGTCTTTCTCCCTTTTATTACCAGCTTATGATGGTTAGATTAGGGACATCATATTTAATTTAGCATACTCATGTTTGCATCCACTTGTATTGCATGCACCAAGGCCCCGCGCATCATTCTAATTCGCATTGTCATTTAAATACTTCTTTGAATACATGCTTAGACCGAATGCGATCAAATCATTTCATATGTCATATTAGTAGCCGAGCCTAGTAATTGCATATCACATGTGTTGCATTTGTCATATTGTACAGTTAGAAATCATGCATATTTTCTAACTTTGTTTTGTAGCTTGTTTGCGGGACATCGGTAAATATGGGAGTTGTTATGCTTTTTTCTTTTTGGACTCGCCTTCGGACATTAAGGTAAGCATTTTTGCTTTAGCATATTGCATAAGTGTGAATACTGTCATATCAAACATACTACCATGAGGCTAACTGCTTATTTAATATACCTGTTTGAATGCTAGTGGATGAAGGCTAATCACTTGAATTGGGATACTTTGATTCATGTATATATGAGATCACCATTTTCAGTGATACATATTCAAAACATTTTTTTTTCAAAACAAACATGAAATCAAACATTCCAACTTTTCGTGAAATTAGTCTATACTTGTATGTTACATATAGAACAAGAGCATATACTGTACATAAAAACCACATCATGATTAGTAGAGGTCGATCTTTGATCGGGTGAGTGGGGTGTTCAATTATTGACCTTCCCCTCTCATACCTAAGTTCCCGAACCAAAACACTTTGGTAACGACGGACTAACGGCCTTTGGTACGAGTCATGGGTTTCCTAAATTTTTTAAAAATAAATATTTAGGTGTCGACTCTGAAATCTGACAAAGCAGTCCATTTTTGGCATTTGATTCAAACATCGATTTTTCAAAAGAAATTGCCAGATTTGGACTCTTTTTGTGTTTCCACTGTTTCACATTGCACTTGTGAAATCAGAATCAAAACCAACACAAGTGGAGTCCGAACTGTAAGGGCTATTCATTCTTCCGAAAATGAGCGCGAAAAGTTGAGCTACAATTATGAATAAATTTTGTTTGTGTACTTAACAACAAACAGAAGAAATAAAGAAAATGAAAGAGATTGTTTGATTACAAAAATCAAACCAGTAAGTAAAATAAAATAAAACAATATATTCTTATTTTGTTACAAAAATAAAATTAGAATCTGATATAAATAAATAAAAAAAATAGAAAGTAAATTAATTACTAAAATAAATTGGTTAAAATTGGATTACAACCGACATAAAGAACCAATATGATTAATTGAAGTCGGTCGGACGTTATACCAAGTTTATTGTGTCAAGGCTTGTCTTACATCAAGTCATGATAATTTGATGAATCTTGAAGTGTCTCTATTTCCCTTCTTGAATTCACTTCATGATAGGAGGGAGGGGTGGTTGTTTATTCATTGCATTTATTGATCATTGTCCAAATTGTATCCGAAATCATCAAGCAATCAACTTGCTAATTGATGGTTTTGGAGATGATTTCAACCCTCTCTTGAGTATTTTTATGATAGAGAAGGGTAAAAAAAAAGACAAACATGGTTAGGAATACCCTGTCTGCATTGTTTCACCTCGGGTACAAAAAAAAAAGATTTTCACAAGAAAACAAAGTATTGGATTTATTTGGGGCTCGACTGAGTCGCGTTTTGGGGTCGACAAGGCTCCAATAAATTGCAAAACAATATACTTTTGGTTGAAAGCAGTAACTAGGGGTGAAACAGAACAAATCCCAACAAGGCAGACAAAATAATTCCTAAGGAGCATCGAGCAATCATTGCATATTATTATTGTAATAAATTAGATAGCCCCTTTCATTTATTAGTCATTCGGCTTTGTAATAATTATTTGTTCGGACACTTGGACATTCGGACCCTTCTTTGCGAGGACAAATACGTAATAAGTTGTATGTCTTCCAACCCCTATTCTTTCTCCCTTTTATTTCACTACTTATGATGGTTAGATTAGGGACATCATGTTTAATTAGCATTTTTCACGATTTGCATCCATTCGTTTACATGCATAAAAGTTCGGCTCATCATCTTATTCAAATGTCAAATTCAAACTCCTTACTTGCATACATGCGCTATCACATACCTTGAATTGACTCACATGCTATACTAGTAGCCGAACCTTAATTGCACGTTGCATGTGTTGCATTAGTCATTAAATTAGGATCATGCGTTTTTTTTTAACTATTTGTTTTCTTTTTGGACTCGCCTTCGGACATTAAGGTAAGCATTTTTGCTTTAGCATATTGCATAAGTGTGAATACTGTCATATCAAACATACTACCATGAGGCTAACTGCTTATTTAATATACCTATTTGAATGCTAGTGGATGAAGGCTAATCACTTGAATTGGGATACTTTGATTCATGTATATATGAGATCACCATTTTCAGTGATACATATTCAAAACATTTTTTTTTCAAAACAAACATGAAATCAAACATTCCAACTTTTCGTGAAATTAGTCTATACTTGTATGTTACATATAGAACAAGAGCATATACTGTACATAAAAACCACATCATGATTAGTGGAGGTCGATCTTTGATCGGGTGAGTGGGGTATTCAATTATTGACCTTCCCCTCTCATACCTAAGTTCCCGAACCAAGACACTTTGGTAACGACGGACTAACGGCCTTTGGTATGAGTCATGGGTTTCCTAAATTTTTTAAAAATAAATATTTAGGTGTCGACTCTGAAATCTGACAAAGCAGTCCATTTTTGGCATTTGATTCAAACATCGATTTTTCAAAAGAAATTGCCAGATTTGGACTCTTTTTGTGTTTCCACTGTTTCACATTGCACTTGTGAAATCAGAATCAAAACCAACACAAGTGGAGTCCGAACTGTAAGGGCTATTCATTCTTCCGAAAATGAGCGCGAAAAGTTGAGCTACAATTACGAATAAATTTTGTTTGTGTACTTAACAACAAACAGAAGACATAAAGAAAATGAAAGAGATTGTTTGATTACAAAAATCAAACCAGTAAGTAAAATAAAATAAAACAATAGATTCTTATTTTGTTACAAAAACAAAATTAGAATCTGATATAAATAAATAAATAAAATAGAAAGTAAATTAATTACTAAAATTATATATTTATTAAACAAAATTCTAATCAAGTCCAGGGTTTAACACTGTGTCCTTAAGACAGATTCGTCCTCTCCACGGTGCTTTGAAATTGTGGACGTCTATCTTCCCTCGCTCGAGCGAAGAACCAAAATCCTGGACAGCAACACTTGGTTTCTAAACCCAACCAACCTGAAACAAACCTGCCCAACACATCCTATAATTCCAAATGAGAAAATAAAGGACAACAACAGCAATTATACAATGACAGAATCTACGGAACCTAGGTCCGGATACAATAATCAAATGGGAAAAGACCGGGGTCGCTATATGTTTGAATAGGTGTTATATCTTTTTGGTTTGAATGAACTAGTAATGTGGCTGTTGGGTTTAAATTCAAACAGACATGAATTTGTTTGGTTTAAATTTAAACATATATTCATCTGTTTGAATGGGGGAAAAACCGGAGCCAATTCTAAAATTAATTTTCAAAATTCAAATTCCAAAAAATTAGAATTTAATTTTAGAAAAATAAAATTCAAATGTTTTTGGCCCAAAAAAATAAGTATTGGGCCGAACAAGTCCAACCCAACCACACACCACGCGCCTAAGCCCAGCCCGCCCGCTCGGACGGACGGCAGCGGCGCGCGTGTGTTTATTTTAGGTCTAATGGGTCTAACCCACTTTACCCATAACATTCCCCTCTACAAAACTTGGGTGCCCCTTGGGGCCTACCACAAGTTTCAAACTCAAGCCTTATAAATTCACTCAAAGTTTGCCTACCAAATCAATGTGGGACAAGCCTTAAACCAAACATTTAGGAAATTTCACCAAAAACACAATTCCTATGGAGCTCTTTTTGGTTTCAATTTTCCATTCACCCGATAATGGTTTTGAGCAACCAAACATACTATGTGAATCACAATGCGGTATAGAACGCGTTACCACTTACATCTGCCAGCTTTGACGTATGGGTCCCACCAAAAAAATAGATCAAAGTTAAGAAAAAATCATATTTTCCAAAATTATTTCCAACACAATTTACTAACTTATATTGCATTAACAACTATTAAATCTCTTCTTTGTCATTTTGTAGGGCTTTAATCTGGACAAGTGAGTTGAATCTCATTACTTTTGAAGATATTGGAAACCTAATAAAGGAAAAAGAAATTGCCACCAATGTAAGTCTTTTATCAAAATTTCTCTGCAATGTTCCATCAGCCTTATAAACCAATGTTACAATTATAAATTATATTTTTCAAGTCATTGACGGCTATGGAGAGATCCTATTTGCTGACCAAAGAAGAAAAGGACAACAATCAACTTCATTTTTTTTCCACATGCATGAGTTTGGTATGTTACTACTCTTTTATTTGATTTTCTCTGGAATTTACTTACTACTTTCTCTTATTAAGATACTTCTTGAAGCCAGTTGCGTCACTAGTCTAATTTTCTCTGACTAGTTGTGTGCATTTAAAATTTCTCTGTATGTATATTTCTGAAATTCCTGTCATTTCAACTTTCTCATAACCATTTTTTGATTTTCTATGATCGCAAAATTTCATCAAGATGAAGGAAAATCAAACTTTCCGAGTCTCATTATTTGACAAGCATCTTGAAACAGTATGGAAGAACTACAGGTTCCTCCATTTCCCAAAAAATACCGAGGGCAATGAGAAGTCAACAAATGAAAATCATTGGACCTTGCTAGTCTTGGACAAAGAAGACAATTTATGGAGGTACTACAACTCACTAAAACCAAGGAGGGACAATGCATAAGCCAAATATATCAAAAAGGCAAAGCAATTAGTAACGAGTACAAATTTCTCTAATCCATGATAATGTTTATGTGATGATAATTTTCATAGAATCTCATTAATTTGTGTGTAAATTTCTCATTTAAAAATTATTTTTTTGCATCAAGATTATGTGGAGAATTTTTTGAAAGCTTGTCTTAAAAGAGAGGCACAATCACAACCCTCTTTCAAATTGATAGACTCACAAAACACAAATTATGACTTTGAATATGTCAACAATGCTCCACAATAAGATAGTGATTTGTAAGTTCCATACATCATTTATAAATAAGATAATCTAATTTGAATGTTTCTTAAAACTAACTATACCTATAATTTGTATACAGTGTGGATTGTGGCCTCTTTGTATGCTACGTAATGAGACAATATAGCAATCATGAACCTATTAGCTCGAAATTGTCGACACAAGACGTAAGGTTGATGAGGGCAGAAATCATAGAGAGATTTGTGACCGAAGTTGGCTGGTCATAGATAGAACCAATTCAAATACCACCAGAAGAAGAACCAAAAGTATAATAGTGAAAGCACACTAGTGAAAAGAAGACAATGCAAACAATGTAATTAGGAATAACCCTTCAATTTGTTTTTTCATACATTAAAGGAATGATGATGTTTGACATATATGTATATATCATTTTTTGACTAATGTAAATTTCATAGCTATCAATGGTTAAATATATATATTTTTTATAATGCATGCTAAGTGGTGATTGTCAACATAATTCATACAGAGAAAATTGTCTGCAGAAATTTCTCTGATATGATGTTACCAGAAATTCACAGAGAAATTTAACTCGTATCGTGCCAAGAGGATGCCTACATGATCATTTAATCTGTAATGCACTGTGTTGGGTACAAAACAATCATCAAATTCAAAAAACACAAAGCGCACAGTAATTTTCTTTGCTATTCGCAAATTTCTCTAGATGAATTTAAAGCTTCAAAACACAGTGCGCAGAGAATTTTCTCTGCTAGTGGCAAATTTCTCTGGATGAATTTGATTGGTATTATAAACACACTACCTATAGTATGTTTCCACAAACACAATGCACTGTAATTTTCTATGCTATTGGCAAATTTTTCTGGATGAATTTGACCTCATAAAACACAATGCACATTTCAACAAACACAATGGCCATAGTAAATTTCTCTTTTATTGGTAAATTTCTGGAACAATTTGACTGGTATGAAGTTACCAGAAATTCACAGAGAAATTTAACTCGTATCGTGCCAAGAGGGTGCCTATATGATCATGTAATCTGTAATGCACTGTGTTGGTACAAAACAAGCATTAAATTTAAAAAACACCATGCACATAGTAATTTTCTCTGCTATTGGCAAATTTCTCTTGATGAATTTGACCTCACAAAACACAATGCACAGAGAATTTTCTCTGCTAGTGGAAAATTTTTCTAGATTAATTTGACTGGTATTGTAAACACACTACCTATAGTATGTTTCAATAAACATAATGCACACTGTAATTTTCTCTACTATTGGCAAATTTCTCTTGATAAATTTGACCTCACAAAACACAATGCACATTTCAACCAAAACAATGCCCATAGTAAATTTCTTTACTTCTGACAAATTTCTCTGGATGAATTTGACTGGTATTATAAAGGCACTCTCAAAGTAAATTTCTAAAAACACAATACAAAAAGTAATTTTCACTGCTATTAGAAAATTTCTTTGGATGAATTTGATTGGTATTATATACACACTGTCCAAAAAATACATTTCACAAAACAAAATACACAAAGTAATCATCAAATATATTATTCATTCAATAAAATGTATTATCCTCAACTATTTAACAAATGTTCCTTGCATATGTCCTCTTATTATGGTGACCAATACTCTCACATCCACTACACTTCATCACCCTTTTAAACTCTCCAGTAGAAGCAATTCTATTCTTCTTTGGCCTCCCAGTTGGTCTCTTACTCAATGGAGATAAAATCATAGGATTGTCAATGCTACACAGATTTTTCAACAATTGGAACTGGGCCAATCGAAAACGAGTGTGCTTGACGATATATATCAGCATGAAAAAATGGTTCAACAAATGAATTCAAATTCTTTCCACTCTTAAAAATTACAGCAACAACATGTTGACATGGATACCCATTTATTTCCCATTTTCGACATAAACAAGTTCTCAACCCAAGATTAACCAAAATTGAAGGAAAACAATGCACTTCAAACACATTATCAGATAATAAACTCACATTCTATGTCCTCCCATCCATGAAAGCCTTCTCCAATACAATATCCATACGAGGACAGAGAACTTTATTCCATTTACTGGAGAGCAGTCTCCTATCAGGCCCCATATTCATGATTTGCAACCGTATCATGTCCACCAAATTTGTTATTGGCAAGTGCCGAGCTTGTTGTATCCATGAATTGAATGACTCAACAACATTTGAATACATCTCATCATAACGTTTTCTTTCAAAATATGAATCACTCCAATTTTCATATGGTAAACTTCTCAAGAAAACACTCATAATGTCTCCTCCCTCACTTTTTAATTCATTTAACTTGAAATAGAATGATGTCTTTGTTGGTGCATATGCACATTTTGAAAATTTGGACACAATCGTCTCCCTAACCAAATTTATGTTTCTACATGATAACATATCCCTCAAATTTCTCTTTAGATGTTCAAGACAAAATCCATGATAGCAATTAGGGAAAACAATTAGAGAAAAACCTTCCTTCCACAATACCACAATGTCGATCTGATATCAAACTTATCACCCTTTTCGATCCCAATACTTCACATAAATGTTTAAGGAACCAACACCAATTGTCTTTATTATCAGCATCAACAACTGCAAAAGCTATAGAAAAAAACCTACAAAACAAATAAGAACAAGCATATTAGATATACACATGCAGAGAAAATTAGAACAATAAACAACTAGAGAAATTTGACACTACCAACATCCAAAGAAACTTCACATAGTGGTAAAATCTAGAGAAAATTCACACGATGGCAACCTCTAGAGAAAATTCACACATTGGCAACATCCAGAGAAAATTCACTTAGTGACCAACTACAGAGAAAATTCACACAATGACAATATCTAGAGAAAATTCACTTAGTGACCAACTACAAATAAAATTTAGACAATGATAATATCAAGAGAAAATTCACACACTGACCAAAATTCAGAGAAAATTCACACACTGGCCAAAACCAGAGAAAATTCACACACTGGCCAAAACCAGAGAAAATTCAAACTGCCAGAGAAAAATCACAAAACATAACCGCAAAAATAGAAAATTCACTCAATTCCCACATGTATAGAAAATTCACATACTTATATAAAATTAGATATATTTACAATTACTTTCATTCCCATCTTTTCCCATCGCAGTAAGCATAACTCCTTTGTATCGTCCTTTCAAAAATGTTCCATCAAGAAACAACAATGACCGACAATATTTGAAACCAGCAATGCATGCATGAAAAGCCACAAACACTCTTTTGAAAAGCTTGTTATCTTCAAAATCTAACTCAAAATTACTACCTGGATTATTCTTCAATGCCTCATCAAAATACCATCGTAATTAATTGAATGACAAACAAGAATCCCCATATGTACTACATTTTGCTTTTTCAACCCCCAATCAACGACAGTTATAACTGATTAAGACCACATACTTGTCTTTCATTTCTTTAACATCATCCACTAGACGAATTAAAAGTTTTATACTTACCTCTTCAAGTATCAGCCCAGAAACTAAGCTGGAAGTCATCCTAACATGTTTACTAGTATGAACCGCCACACCACATGTATGTTCATTGTTCAAAGTTCTTATGTAAAAGAACCCATTTGTTTTTTCAACTGAAGCATGTACACGCCACATACATCCCCTTGATTCCTTACATGCACATTCTGCCGTAACCCTCAGCTTGTCATTTTTAACATACATAAACTGAAAACCAACCTCAATAGCATACTTGCATAAAACAGTACGGAACTCAACCACACCACCCTCAAATTTTTGTTCAGCACTCATAATATTATTTTGCCAACTAGCTGACAATAACACATTTTCTTGGTGAGAACAAAACTTAAAGAGTGAATTCTTTTCAATATCCACGAGCCTATCACATTCACCATGCACAACATCTACCCAATTAGAACCCACTTCATCCTCTTGATCAGAAGTACTACACCTAATAACTGAAATATCAACTATATCAACACCACGTGCAAAAACAACCCTCAGCATATTCAGAAAATCAATATTATTTCGAACCATACAATTCGGATGGCCCACAATAGAATATGAAATACAAATCGTCTCAGGTTTCAAATTCTCACATGATTTACACAAAATGCCAACCAATTCCTCAAAATTCAATTCACATGAAACATTAATGACAATAGTATCATTCTCATATTTGCATAGTAACAACACTGCACTGTCTATCAAAATTGAAAGAAAAAATAAGAAAAATAATTTGTTCAATATAAAAACACTTCACAAGAACAACATAAAAGTCCAGAGAAATTTCTAATAATTATAAATTTTTTTTGGATTATAATAACAAGCTTATAATTTTCTCTGGACTCAAATAAAAGTCTAGAGACATTTATAAACTTATATTCACCTTCAAGATAACAAAAAAAAATCACAGAAAACTTAATGAACTCAAAGAGAATCACAGAGAAATTTACTGCTAACTATTAAACACAATCATAGACAAAAATTACACAGAAGATCTGTTATAAAATTATAAGCTTCTCTGTGATTTTCACCGAATTACAAGCTTACAATTTTCTCTATATGATTGTGCACTATTGCACTCATATCAAAATCCAGATAAATTTACAAACTTATATACATCTTCAAGATAACAAAAAACATTGCACTGTCCATTTAAACTAAAAGAAAAAACACAAAAAATAAATTTGCTCAGAGAAACAAAAACTTATATTCACTTTAAATTACAAACTTATAATTTTCTCTGAACTACAAACTGAAAATGAATAACAAACTTATAATTTTCTCTGAACTACAAATAAAAGTTCAGAGAAACTTAAGAACTTATATTCACTTTCAAGATCACAAAACAAAAACGCATTAACATTAAATTGACAAAAATGCTAATTATTCCACACAAACGCAGAGAAACTCATAGAGAAGATCTGTTATGTTCACAAAACATTCAATTGAGAATAAAATAAAATAAAATAACAAACTTATAATAACATGTCCATAACAAATTAAAATTTTCTCTATGACTTTCGCTAGACTACAAACTTACAATTTTCTCTGTAATTTTCGTTGGATTATAATAACAAACTTACAATTTTCTCTGGACTATACCAAAAAAAGTGTAGAAAAAACAGAGAACTAAAATTAGAGAATAAAATATGATAAGAAATTTACACTTATCTCTGGTTTAAAGAAATTTCTCTGCTTTGAAAAAATAGATAACAAAACTTATCATTGATAAGCATATTGATGAAAAACAGAGCACGAAAAATGAACTCTAAAAATCAAAATTAACTCCACTGTCAATTCTCTTTGAAATTGACCAAAAAACAAAGAATGAAAAATTAACTCCAAAAATCAAAATCAACTCTATCAATCTAGTCTCTCTCTAAAATTAATCAATAACAGAGAATGAAAAATCAACTCTAAAAATCGTAAACAACTTCACTGAGATAGCCTCTATTGTAAATTGATCAAAATTGAAAACAAAAACCTAATGCAAAAATACACTCGAAAAACTAATATGAAATTTGAATCCCTACATAAAATTCAAAACAAAAATCAAAATCTATGTGGAATCTCTATCGAAAACATACCTGATTTAACTCCACTGAAAAACCTACACGATCATAGCAATCTCTATCGCCAAGTCCATTGCAAACATTTGCAAAATCCCTACGAAATCTCCACCATGAAGTCCATCCTTATGAAATCTTTTACAAAACAGCAATAGAATATTCAGTTTGCCAAAATCCAAATAAATTTATGTCATAAAGAAGGGTAAATTAGGTATTTTATAACGTAAAATAAGGTTGAGGAACCTTAGGTATCAAAAAATATTATTATAGACCTCTCCTCCTATCAAAAGTTGGGCAGGGATCTTAGACCAATTTTTTTAAAATATTTATAGATAAGACTTTTAGATAATTAATTTTTTTAAAAAAAAAGAAAAAAAAAATGAGATAGTTTCTTCCATTGTATGACAGTCAACATTTACTATTTTTACCAAAATTGGGATGATGTGATTTTGATAATTCCAAGGATTTAATAATTTCAACATTTACTATTTCTTAATTTATTTTTATTTATTTTTATAAAAAAAAGAACCAACAAAAAAGTTACTAGAAAAGTCAACCCTGAACATGGGTAATAATGTGTAAGGATGTAAATTTGACCTAATCCGATCCAGCTCGGACTCAGGCTAGCCTATGTCGTGCCGTGTAAGCTTCTGCCAAAATTCAAGCCAGATTATAGGCTAGAAAATCAGGCTCAAGGACAGGAGATATTCAGATCTCGAACGGGACCGACAAGCCTGGGCTCAGACTTAGGCCGAATTTCAATAATTTTTTTTTATTTTTTCCACTATTTTTAATTTTTTTCCATAAAAAATGACATTGGACCTCGGGCAGGCCAAGCCTCGGGGCTGAGTTTTAAGTGGGCCTTCAACAGGCAGATGGGCCAAGCCACGATTCGAGCTGGACTTCAAAACAACAACTCAGGCCTAGAGTTCCGGACTGGGCTTGAGCCAGGATCTAACTGGGTCAGGCCCATCTCAGCCTGTGGGCAGGCTTCGGACAGCCCACAGGCCATATTTACCTTAAAATCAGTTTGGATAAAGAATTTATCTATCACATGCCCACTTTTTAGGGGAGATTCTATTTACACCCAAAAAATCATTAAGCACTCCCAATTTCTAGGTACACCATGTTTAGTTATTTAAAATTGGGTAAATTACACCCACTTCCCTTGAAGTTTTTGACAAATACAGGAACTTCCTCTGTGGTTTGAAAAATTACACAAACCTTCCCTACTTTAACTGACATTATCAAGATTCCCCCATATTTGAACCTTTGTTAACCCTAATAACAGAACCTGCTGATGTCATCACCAATAAAGCCAAAAATACAACTAATGCCCTCATGGCTATTGATCTCATGTATATATACCAAGCATAACACAGCTTCACAATGCACAACTCAAAAATTCCAAGGCAAGAGAAAAACCAAAAAGGCAGCCAGAAGTGAAAGGAAAGAAGCACAACAAAACCAACTACAACACAGGGATGTTACCATTCACTTTGAGTATTTTAAAAAAAAAAGGAGGTACAAGTAGGAGATGGAGGGTGATCATGGCAACCAGAATGTGTTGTTACCAACATATGTTGAGGAAATTAAGAAAACAAACCTTGGTAGCTTAGCTGCCGTAAAAAAAATTTTGCAAACAAAGCAATACCCAATTCAATTGATTTTTCAAATCTCATATATATGAACAAATACATATATATAAACACATGCAACCATATTTTGATTTCTAACAAAGAAAATAAAATCCAATTAAATTAATTTCTAAATATGTTTAACATTCAAACATAAGAACAACTCTTTTTTTTTTTCTCCCTTCTAAATTTAAGATACAAATATATATATATACACACACACACACGTTAAAATTCAAATAAGAACTTGTTTGGATTTTCAGCAAAGAATAAAAACTCAATTTCAACAAATTTCTAGGCACCATTTGGGAAGAGCTAAACTAGGCTTTTTTGCCTATTTTAGCCACAAAAAATAAAATATCACATCTAACCTATAATCATTACACTCTTCTCTCACAAAAAAAGTCAAAAAGCTCTTCACAAATCAAGCTTTTTAGCCCAGGCTAAAATAGCCAAAAAAGTCAATAAGCCAAAAAACCAACCCACTTCCCAAACCAATTCTAAATCTTATATATACAAAACATATACATAGGTACATACAAATCAGTGGTGTGGCGTTTGAGTGGCTAAATTGCTTAAACGACCACCATTGGCTTCCACTTCAACAATAATAGTTTCTTCCCGACACATCAATAAACCCCAAAAGCTTCATAATTTTCAAACCATTAATTCCAATAAAATGCCTTTAAATTATTATGAAATTACCTTCTTCCAAAACAAATGAAACATTACCAAAGAAAGCCATATAACAATACAAACCCAGCAAAATGCATAAATGATAGCCAAAATTGGATCTTTAAGCCATCAAAACACAAAATGGAACATAAAATCCAAAATCCTGAATGTCTATTCAAGCTTTATTTCTAACCCAGAAAGCTTAATTATTGACTTACACATAAATTGAGACCCTAAAATGAAAAATTCCAGGCAAAGAAAGAAACATTAATGAAAAACTTAAAGCCAAAGAAGTTCCAAAAGATCAAACAAAGGGAAAGCAAATCAATTGCTACAATGAGATGAAATCAATACCTTGAGCAAGCGTAACTCAGTCTGAGTGAAGTTTGAATATATATGCATCTGAGACTCGTCCAGAGAAATTGGTATCCATAACTTTACGATTATGGGTACCGGAATACTATTAAAAGCTTCCCATTTTGGGTTTGTCGATGGTGGTTATGGTGGAGCCATGCGATTTCGAAGGTCGTTATTGGGGTCTTTTTTATAGACTATAATGGTGTGATTTAACAGAGGTGGTTTTGGGTTTGATTTGATAGAGATACGATATAAAATTTGGGTTCAAGTGCAGTGGTTGGGAGTTCATGGATATGGCAGATTCAATGCAGGGTTGTGGCTTCAGTGGGAGAAAGGGGTTATCATCTCTCTCTCTCTCTTTTTTGTCTTTTTTTCCTTTCTATTTTCTCTCATCAACATCCTTAACATAAACATAAGAATTTTTCCCTGACGATAACCCTCATCCTTCTCATATTCTACCCCTATGTTTGTCAAATATGGCGATGGCGATGGCGATGGCGATGGGCGAGCAAGGGCAACGACATGGCTGGGGGAGAGAGGACAGGAATGAAGTACGATGGGTGATGAAGAAGAAAGTGAAAAGAGGGCGGCGAAGGAGAGAGGTCGCCATTGGAGGAAGGGGGTTGAGGAGAATTATCGCCGGTGGCGTTTGGGATTGTTGGAGGCAGTTGTATTGATGGTGGCCGGAAAGAATATGGGTAGGAGAGATGATGCGAAAGGGTGAGGGAGAGAGAGAGAGAGAGAGGTAGAAAGAAGAGCAAAGTGTAGTGAGATAGGTATGAGAGATTTAAAGATCAAAAAGGTATTGACAATGTCTTTTCGTCCTTCAAAACAAGGGTAATAAGGTCATTTAGTATATGTAAGTAACATCATTCGGGGAAATTCTATTTCCAAACACTTGATTAACTCAATACATATGTTTTTTCTAAATTTTTTTATTACATTTCTATCATTCAATCAAATTACCAATACACCCCTCCCTTTCTCCCTTCCTCCCTCCCTCCTGACTCAACCCTAACCTTTGCCATTTCCAACCACCGTCAGTCACCTCCCTTCCTTCTGATTATCACCACCTTCATAGCAGTCCTCTCTCTCCCTCTCAGCTCAACCCTAACCTTTGCCATTTCCTATCGAGTGTGTTGAACTAAACATGTCAAAACTATCTACCTAGCACACTCGATACAAAAATGTGTATAATGTCAACCACCATTTCAATTTTCAAAGATATATTATTCAATTTATAGCATTTAAGTCATTCAAAAGCACGCCGGCCTTTCCTGCCACTTAGTCCTGCATGGGGTACACACCATCTCTTAGACCATTAAAACCATCTTCAAGTCTCACCAGGTGAATTTACTATGGAACAGTCTGAAGGACATGTAAAAGGCCAAACTTCCAAAAGTACAAAAGACTAAGGAAAACTTATATGATGAATACGAACAAAGGGAACCAACTTTGTGGTCTTAAGTATCAAACCCAGAGAAACTTATGGAGTTAAAACAGCATACCAGAGGCTTGATGGAGTACATCAAATGCCAGTGAATCCTGAACCTCCTGGAAGATTTTGACAAAGAAATTGTGTCAGCAGTAATATATATGTTTCGTATCGAGAGAGGCTGAGAAGGGAATGGCGCCGGTGGGAGGCGGTGGTTGTTGACAATGGTTAGGGTTAGGATTTGTTGGAGAAGATGAGGATAGTTTAGTATTATTTGAAAATAATTGATGTGTATTGAGACAAACTTAAATGTTTTAATCTGTGTATAGTGTAAATTGAGTAAATGGTGTATACTAAGATAAGTAAGGATGTGTAGATAGAATTACCCCTTCGTGTCAATTTGACAGAATGGGGGATCTTGACAATGTCAGTTAAGGTATGGGAGGTTTTTGTAATTATTTAAATCACAGGGGAAGTCTCTGTATTTGTCAGAAATCTCAGAAGAGGTGAATGTAATTTACCCTTTAAAATTTTATTTTACTTTCATTACACCCTATCACTTTTTCCAAATTACTCTCAAGGTAAACCCAAATAATAAATAATAAAAAAACTAAATTATTTCAAAAACTTTTCAATACAGAAAATAATTCTCAAATACGAAAGAAAAAAAACCAAACGTATAAGCACATACGTATTATAAATACAGAAAAAACTAAACTTTTACATAAACATTATAAAACTTTTCAATATGGAAAAAAAAAAACTTTTACATTATAAATTATCCACAAGAATACTCGTGGAAAAGTTAAAACCAAACTTATAAGCACATAAGTATCAAGCACTAACAAGAAAAAATAGTTCTCAAATAATATATTATTTAAATGACAAAATAAAAATAACTCCAATAATATGTTATTGTTAATCTAATTATTGGACCCTTTAATTTTTGTCAAAAAAACGATATAGAAAATAATTGATAGTACTCTACAAAAATTGTGAAACCCCTTTATATGAATACTTATCTCCTTTTTTATGGGTTTTTTCAAAAAACTATTTTGATTATTACTCTCATTCATTATTTGATTTCGTTCAAACTTTCTTCAAGGATTTAGTGTTTCAAAATAATAAAAAACAATGATGTTGATGGTGAGTTTTGGTAGGATGAATTAGAATTTTGAAGGAAGGATGAAGAAGGAGAAAAAGAAAAAGAATAGGGGTTGTTTGGAGTATCCTAAATAAGTGCACTTTTTGTCTTTTTGGACTAAATAGTTGAGGAAAAAAATATAAATGTTTGGGTTAACTTTTTGACTTTTTATGGAAAAATGTGTATTAAAAAATTATATAAATTAGTGTGGAGGAGAAGATTGTGATGGAAGTGATGGAATAGTTGTACGGCGAGGGATAGTGTGTACAGAGTGGGGGAGGGGAGATGATTTCTTACTTTTTCGGGCAGTGAATTGAAGGTGTTGTTTGGCCTGTGAGGGCCTACTACTGGTCCCGTTTTGCTAATCAAAACCATTCGATGTGTAGAACTCGTCGAGCACTATACGCTTATAAAAAATCACGTTGATCGGATATCGATAGTTATCTTATCGGATTAATTTTTTTTCAACCGTTAACTATAACACCATCCATTTTATAAATTTTAACTGATTTGATCATTAGTTACCGATATCCGATCAATTTGATTTTTGATAGGTATATAGTACTCGACGAGTTCTACACATTAAACGGTTCAGATTGTTAAAACGGGACCCGTGATGGCCTCCACAGGCCGAACAACACCGTGATGTTTGTACATCTAAATAAGTGCAATTTTTCCCACAACAATGCTCCGCCTGCTCTGCCGTTATGATTGTTTGAAGAAAAGGAAGATTGTGTAAAATTAATTTTTTAATATTTTTTTGAGATAAATTGTAATAACTTTTTAACTTTTTTGAATAACTTTTTGACTTTTTCTAAAATACCCAAACCAAGCCTAAATAACTTTAATCACTTGGGAAAGAAAATATAGAGATTTGAATAGGAGTAACTGATTAAGGTGTACCATGAGAAATAAAAAATTATTTTAAAATTTAATATGTATTGTCCTTATTAATAAATTCATATTACTGAGAGATACTTTGGATTGGAATATAATCTCCTACTTTTTAGGAAGCTCGTTTTTGTTATTCAGAAAATTTAAAATGGATGGATAGACAACCAAGGTATAGACAAAAACCAAACAAGCATATTTCTTTCCCTCCAAGAACGCAAACAAAAGTTCATATTCCACATGCTAGTTTTAAAAAGCATAGGCTGAAAATAATAAATTATAAATAAAAAAACCATATTTGAAAAGCAGAGGAACACAACAATTCTGGAACAAAGAAAGTAAAAGCTGAAATACACTCAAACATGTACGATATACCAGTGTTACAAAATACAAGCCTTAAAAACCTATCAAACAAGAGAAAATTAGCTTTCCTAATGAGAAAAAACAAGGTTACCAATCTGAACCATCTGGAAAAGGTTTCAACGCATCTTGCTTGCCGTTGACATAGTATTCCACCACTGCTTTCATTCTTGGAAGCTTATCGGGGTGGTAATTCACGTGAACGATCACTGGTTTAAGCTTGCTCAGGTTAGCATCTTTCCTAACTGTTTTGAACAAGACCTTGCTATTCATAAAGAGATAGAAATCCATAGTTCTCCTAGCAGCATGAAGACCTTCGTATCCAGGATGTGAAGGGAAGAAGAGCTCCTCATTGAAAACTGCCTGGTCCCATGACTTCGGTTCCCGAGAAAGGCGACCAGCCACACGATCAAGAAGCTCAATAGAAGGTATTGTTGGCCTTATGTAAAAGAAACCAGAATTATACACCCATATCCGCATTGTATGAGCATAGCGAGCCCAACCCATTGAAGGTTCATCAAACACATCATTATACCCATAAGCTGTCATGTTATTGTGACCATCGGTCATGGACTCCACATCTGAGTCCCGATAAAGATGATAAAAAGGGTTTTGCAAATACACTATATCGACATCTGAGAGAAGAACACTGTAACCCAACTGCAAAAACTCCCTCAAGATGTGGAATTTTAATCCGGAAACAGCATGGTTTCCTCCGGTCCTGGCAACTGAATCAATTCCTTCATCTGGGTCTCTCTTATACACAGGAACATCCTTTGATTGGCAAAGATTGGCGATCTCTTCATCCAAGGCAATGACCAAATAATTGGGTATACCCACTTTCTGGATGCTAGAGAACCAGACCTCCAACATGTCCTTCACATTTGAATTAGCAAGGGCAACTATAAGCTCCTTGTTTACAGCAACTTTCTCAAGTATCTTTGCTAATCTTGGATTCACTGATTCATCAGGAATAACAGTCGGGTTGGTTCTCAAACCCTTAACAGTACCAAAAGGGCCAGCTTTATGCTGTTCACCCAGCACCAAAACCTGTTTCTGTGCCTGATCTTTTCCTTGCTCGGCCAGCCGAATCTTTTCAGTCAATTCCCTAATCTGTTTTTTCAACACTTTATTTTTCTCTGAAACAGCTACAAACTCGGACTTCAACATGTTAACCCGTTCGGATGATTCACAAGACGATAAATCAACCTAACAAACATATCAATGGAAAAACAATTATATCCTGCTGTGACCTCATAGTTATGACTTATAATAGGGAAGCACCCTTTGTCCAAAACAATGGAAACAGCTAAGAGCTAACATCAAATGACACAAATACCCAAAATTTAAATGAGAACTGTGTGCAGATTGTTGGATGAATATCGCTAGAAGTAAAACACCTCTATTTCTCAGTTAAAAGTCCGCCAATCACTAAAGCTAAAATCAAAATCCCCCAAACCCAATAACCATGCCAACAAGATATCAATTAGTTCATTGTAGAATATGGAGTGTACTTACATTCTAGGTAAATATCAGTTCTGGATCTGAAATAATTTGACAATTTGTGACTAATATGAAAGAAACCACATCCATATAGTAAAGTCACTCACTGCATAAGACCTCAAACTTGTGCAATCACATCCGCTATGTAATTAATTCTAGTTCAAAGCAATAGAAAAGGCATTGCCTATATATCAACAAAAATAAATAAATAAATAACTATGCTAGAATAAAGTATAATTACCATCAACAATCTCATTCCAAAATCAAAAAGAATTCCACAATGTAAATCACATGCAATATATCAAACCACAACCAGTACTAGCATTTCAAAGTGAAAACCACAATGGTTTCAAGTCAACGGGCTTCATTTTATTCACGAAATCCAGATCAAATATGGAGTATGATTTTTCAACAATCTGAGAATTGCAATTGAATCGAAAAAAATCAAAAATGCGAATGCAAAAGGATTCGAACCTGAAGATCAGATTTGGCGATTCGACTGGTGCGAATCGGAGTGGAATCGAACAAGCCGTGAGGGTACAAGAAGGCGAAGACGCATCCGATAGCAACTCCGATCGCGATGGCCACCGCAAGTCTCGATCCGCGAAGCGAGTACCCGCCGTTTCTCATCAGCGGACCTTCTCTGCGAATAGCCATGGATGCGACCCCAACCCCAAAGATTTTAGAGAGAGAAAGTCTCCGGATTCAGCTTTATCTACTGTGCTGATTTGCACACAAAAAACTATATATAGATATAAATACAGAGCCAATACAGAGATATATACTCGCATATAGTTATGATTATGTTAATGGCGGTGTACGAACCCTATAAAGTATGTTTTCCTCTCTGTTCTATGGAGAGAGAGAGAGAAAGAGAGAGAGAGAGAGAGAGATGGTTATTGCTCTGACAGAGTTTTTTTCAATCAGGATTTAAGGGGATTAGGCAGGGTTGGTAGTACTTAAATCTAACTTAAAATGGCTGGTTATCATCTTGAGATTTTAGAAAAAAATAAATAAATTATATATTTTTAATATAATTACATTAATCTTTTTCAAATTTCAATGACAAACTATAACGGTACTCATGTCCCTTGATTCTTTTGTAATTTTGATCATAATAATCTTGGTTGGTTTGATTTTCATAATAAATTTATGATTTTGTTTTAATTTGATTTAATTGATTACATTTTTTAACATTTTTTTAAGAAAAAAACGTACAAAAGTAGCATGTATCATATTCTTAAGAGTAAACTTATAAATTTATTCTACTCAGTAAGTTAATCTCAACTAATTTAGTATTAAATTTTTATCAAAAATACTAACGACATTATTAATTAGACCATATTGACACAAAATTTAAAATTAATGATCAAAATTGAATTAATTAAAAATGTAGGAATCAAAATGACATAAGGAATAAAATGTAAAGACGATCAACTTAATTTGCCCAAGTTTTAATTCAAATAATACTTAACCAATTTTTTTATCAGGACTCGTTTGGCATAAGACTACAGGGTTAAAATAGTAAAAAAAGACAAAATATGTTAAAAAGTCAATAAAATAAAATATCACATCTAAACCATAATCATTTTATTTTTGAGGTTTTTTTTTTTAGGATCCCTGGTATTAAGATTTTATAATATAAAAGACATCTAATATTTTTATAAAGTCTAAGGTCCCTCAATTTGATCCATGGAAATTCTATCCAACCCAAAAAATTTCTTTGTTTCTCTCCAGAGAAATTTCCAGATTATGTAAAGTACTAACAGCTGTGGTTTTTAACTCAAAAAAAAAAAAAAAGAGGAGGCAAAACACCACCACCACCACTACCACCAGCACTGATGCAAAGAGAAATGTGCACACCAGACAGATCATACACAAAATTATTGCACATAGTACAATCAAGAAACAAAGGGCTTGTTTGGTTTGAATTTGAGAGATGAGTTTTAGAAAAAAATTTCTCAAAAATTGTTTGGATTGATATTTTTCTCAAAAAATTTCTAAAATTACTTTTTCTCTCTTACACATCAATCAATCACTTTTTCTCTCTCCTCTCTCCTTCTTAATCACTTTTTCTCTCACACACACCTACTAAATTCTTCCAAAATATCAAATCATCCCAAACTCCCACAAAAAATTTATCTCTCAAAATATACAACCAAACAAACCAAAAAAATTTCTAAAACAACCCTCCCAAATTTTTTTCAAAAACAACTCTCCCAAAAACAAACCAAACAAGCCCAAAATTTCTTCGGATTTTCAAATTTCTCTGACCCACTCTCTAGAGAATTTCTCTGGCATTCCCTTATCTCCAGAGAAATTTCCCTTCTCTACAGAGAAAATTGAAATTTCACTGAACAAAATTGTTTGCTTCTGTAGAATCATTTCTCTGTGAAACCAAAGAAAATTTAAATCCTTTACCAGAGAAAATTCAAAATCTTGTACCAGAGAAAATTTCAAATCCTTTACCAATCAAATCATTTATTAGTTGAATAGAAGAGAAAGAATGAGAAGTGTAATATATATACTAAGGCCTCGTTTGGGGACTTACATTTTTAGCCAAAAAGTCAAAAAGTTACCATTTTAGCCAAAAAGCCAACAACTCATACCAAAAAGTCAAATTTTCTCTTTTCTCTCTACTTTTTGCACATCTTTTCGTAATTAGCCTTCTCTGACCCACTCTCTAGAGAATTTCTCTGGCATTCCCTTATCTCCAGAGAAATTTCCCTTCTCTACAGAGAAAATTGAAATTTCACTGAACAAAATTGTTTGCTTCTGTAGAATCATTTCTCTGTGAAACCAGAGAAAATTTAAATCCTTTACCAGAGAAAATTCAAAATCTTGTACTAGAGAAAATTTCAAATCCTTTACCAATCAAATCCTTTATTAGTTGAATAGAAGAGAAAGAATGAGAATTGTAATATATATACTAATAGTACACAACCAAAATAAAGTGCTAACCAGAGAAAATTCTGGACTAGAGACTGAAACTTAGAGAAAATAAGTTTTCTATTGATTTAAAAAGTTACTGCAAATAAATTGCTCAAATTCATACATTTCGCACTACCAATGCCCTAAATCTAGAGTTCTAAACTTTCCGAGATAGTCAAATTTTCATGTAAACAACAGAAGATCTATTTCACAACCGCCACAAGGCATAAAATATATATATATATATACACAATTGAGTAGAGTAATATAACTTACTCTTTTAATTGAGGACTCAGTGGAGCGCACACCTGGGTTGCTACTAGGGCTGGCTAGGACATAGTTGAGGCCCTTGTCAGGGACCTTAGAGGATTAAGAAAAGGGCTTTGACGAACGATTGGAGGACATAATGGTTTTAGGTGAGGACGATGATGATGATTCAGGAGATGCTGCTGATGAGCTTTGAGAAGCAAGTAGAGGGGATGGCAAGTAGCGTTTGTCTTCTGAGTTGTCGATTGGGGTTGCGATTACGGTCACCCAGTCTCACAGCAGTAGAGGCGGAGGCGGCAGGCATTGAAAGAGTGAACTGAGGTTTGGATTTAGAGAGAGAGAAAAAGAGATGAAATAAAGGAGGTAGAGAGAGAAAGGAGGTTTGATAGAATGAAGATCGGAAACAAAGAGAGAGTCAAATTTCTCTGATATGATATATAGGTGTGGGTTTAGGAACCTTAGACATTAAAAAATAATATTGTGGATCTTTTCTATTACTAAAATTGGGAGAGAGACCTTAAACTAAGGCCAAGTTTGGCATCTTCAAAAAAATCCAAAAAGTCAAAAAGTCACTATTCTATTTAAGTCACATCATCTTATTTAAGTCACATCACCTCTCTATCTTATCACTTCAAACCCAACCCATATTTCATAAAAAGTCAAAAAGTACACTTATTTAGGACATCCCAAACAATCCCTAATTTTCCCTTTATTTTTTCTCTCACAAAAGTCAAAAAAGTCAAAAACTTTATCCTAAACGAGATTTTTTAGTCTCAGACTAAAATAACCAAAAAAATCAAAAAGTCAATTCATATTCCAAACGAATCCTCAATAATTTTGAATAAAAAATGATGTTATCTGCCTTATACTAATATATATATTTTTTCTTGTTATTTGCATTAGTTTTAATCTATTCGACTTTAATAAGAAGGAGATCAATGTATTTATACTCAAAGGAGGTCAATTCGACTTTAATAAGAAGGAGATCAATGTATTTATACTCAAAGGAGGTCAATGTAATTTTCCTAAAATATTCTTAACTCAAATTTAAAAAAAAAAAACCTTATTTTGAAAATTTTAATATCAAACACTCTATTTGATTTAACTTAAATGGGATAATTTTAAGAATCTATGCCATAATGTTTGATATACCTTCTATTTATAATGTAAGAAAAAAATAAATGAATAAGCTAATTATTAGGAAATTAAGGGAGAAATACTTTTTTACTGAGATTGTTGTAATCAATTATGAAATCTTGATTATGGAATTATAGCAATCTTCCTTAAAAGTCAAACCGTTAAAGAGTTTCTACATTCACCTTACAAATTTGCAACTCAATGCATTCACATAATATTAGTAATAAATTTTTGAAGTCTGGTTTGGTAGAACATCAAAAGATAATACAACCTGCTAAGAATTTACAGTCAAAGCATTCCCATTTACAAGCCTACATTTGTAAAAACAAATTGGCAAAGCAAATGAATCCATGCTCACCACAAAACACAAAACATAAAAAACAAAAAGAGAAGAAAAATGAACTTGCTTCTTTACTTGCCGCGACTAGTCATTGCCATTTAGACACCAAATGCCAGGCCTATTAAGCGCTGTAAAATTGTAAGCTATCTAAATTCTGTGCTCGGTTATCATTCATCACTCTCTGATTCTGAATTCTGTTCTTGTGTTGTAAGGCTTTCAATCACACTGTCAGGTTGCGTCTGTACATTCGTTGTTGGGCCTTCAATTGCACGATTGGCTTGCTTCTTGCCTGGGTGAAAGAAATCGCCAACCACTTGGTTCACTGAAACAAGGCACCGGAAAAGAAGAAAGTTAAAAAGAAAAGATATATATGCAGTTCCTTAGTAAATGACAAATTATTAATTAAAGAGTAAATACGATCAATGTTTCACAAATTTTCAAAATAAGACAACACTGAAAATAGTTTAATTAAATAACCAATCAATATATAAAACAAACATAATTTTTTAAAATTTTTTGAAGGGATAAACATAGAATTATAAATCAAAATTTCACAATAAAACGGTATTTGTAGATTTGATGTGGGTTCCCATCAATTACCTGCTCCAAAAATCTTCATAAATAGTGTCCTTGCAAACTGTATTTCTGTTTGGTGTGCACTCACAAATTTAGCCTGCAAATCCAGAAATTCATCAGACAACCTGAATTCACAACTCACAAATGTTTGGCAAAATACAAAAGGACACCATAGAATGCATAGGACATTAAAATGGCAACAATACATTTGTATTCCTTGCCCATTCTTAGTCATTACATGTAACATCAAAGACCTTGGCAACAGGATTATTGCCTCTGCAGGCTATCAACTGAATTTACAGCAAAAGATTGGCAAGATTGACTGATTTAAACAATCCATACTTGCGGCCACAACAACATGAGATAATAAGAGGCTTTACCATCTCACTATATAAAAACCCCACAATTTGATCGAGTTTAGCTTGATGCCTCAACAGGAAAGGACGCAGATGGTTCATATACAAATGATTTGCCCCCTGTCAAATAGCAAGCAGTGTGTATGAGCATGCCGGAAGACAAAAAAAATCTCAGGATTGTTTGGAATCATTTTTCAAGACAACACAAAGAACAAACCTCAAAATGCAAAATCATGGAGAAGTAGAAACATTGATATCATACTGCTATGAGAAATATCACTACATTCTTTCTTAGCGCTCAGTAATTCTAAAATTATTATCATCTTAACCACATTAAGGGGGTGTTTGGGAAGCCAAAAATTGACTTTTTTTGGCTAAAATCCACAAAAAGAAAAAGTAGGCTAAAATAGCCAATAAGACAAAATGTCACATCAAACCCATAATCATTTTACTTTTCTCTCACAAACATCATATCCAACTACAAAACAATCCAACCCTCTTCCCAAACACAAATATTTTAGCCTACTAAAATAGCCAACTTCCCAAACGAGGCCTAAATATGTAAAGCAGTTCAATTGCATAATTATAATGTAAGCAAATTCCAAACACAAATCAAATGTCTTGTCCAGTGCTGATGAGCCAACAAGTGAAGAAAGTTTGAAAAAATGGGTGATGATCAAGAACAAACTACGAAACTAGGTCAACATCCATAGCACACGGTAAACATTTGAAAGTAAACAACACATACAGAGAAATTTCATATTTTAGCTAAGAAGGTGATAGGTTCAGTCCACTTCCATGAATAGAGTAATTCATGCAAAAACTAGTAACAGGTAAAATAAACCACCAATGATTCCTCTAAAGCAATTAGAAATGGATGAAGAGAATTTTTTATTTTTATTTTTATTTTTTTAAAGTACTTGCTCAAGCTTACATTAACAGAAGGAAGTTGAAGCCAAACTAGAAATGCAAACTTCACGTGGTAGTAGAGTGGAAACCTGATGAAACCATATAAAAGAAGCTTCTGAGATTGCATACCTCCCTACCTAAACAGAGAAAGCTAAAAATCTCAAGTAGAAAACTTAAAAATAATAAGTTGAAAACTATACCATGAGATAAATTTGTCGGTGAAAATTTCGGCGATGCTAAAAGATCCGTATGCTGCATCAATATGTAGTCTTATATGGAAGTATCCAAAGGAACATAACAACCAAAGAAAATATATCACAAAAATACAGGATGGATTAGAGAAAAAGCTAAAACCAAGGTCCCATAATGCATTCAGTTACGAGCTTGGTAATCTACTTCTGCATGTCTAGACAAGTTGGTAAAGCCTCTTTGGTGGTTCTACAGTCCAATTTTAACTTCACTTCCCAAAATGTTTCTAAACCATCAAATAATGATACACAAAGGTTTTTAGTAGTTCATCATACGAGTTAATTTTAACTTCCTCAAGTTCTCTATTTCAAACAATTTAGCATTAAGAATTTAACCTTTTTTTTATTCTCCCTCTCCAAGTGAGCCCATTTCTCAGGATCCATTAGAAACATGCTAAAAAAAACTTACTATATTGGATTGTTCTGTTAGAGGAGTACAACTATAACATGACTTGACATTTGCTTTAATTTCAATGATATGAATGGTTACACCATTTCATTTTTCATAAGAAACCTTTTTTCTATTTTTGAAAATAACTCGTATGAATGAATAAGATAACAATAGACTTATATGGTGATGGGCACTTTATGAAGCGGTGTGCCATGCATGGCACCATCATAGCTAAGTGTGGTGCTTTCGGTGGAGGAGTTGGGTGGGGAGGGGAGGTGTGGAGCATACAGGATGAAGAGTATAACGATGCCCGTTTACGGTTGTGTACTTCGCTCTATTGCAATATCCTATTTTTTGGTAACAAAGTTTATCACTTACTGAAAAATAAACACATAGCCAACTTCACATGTAAGTCCTTGGTGAAAACATGTTGAATAGTAGGTCGTACAATTGTAATCATAAAAGATCAACAGAAGAATAGCAATGACAATAACAAATCTCCTAAATTATATTTATCCATGTCAAAAAAAAGAAATGGACAAAAAAAAAATTATTTATCATTGCAAATTATAACATATAGAAAATAATACATTTAGTGCATGCAAAAGTGGCAACAACATTGCTTACCTGCCCAGTACAAAAGCCACCTTTGTTGCTCATTTTGGTTTTTTGACTCAATTGCTTTAAATGTAGAGTAAACAGGTAAAACAACCCCCACTGAACAGCTGCACGAGCCATATTAATGACACATTAGTAACAAATACCAGGCCTTACATTTCTTTCAAAATCTCGTAGGCATAACACATGTTATTTTGAGCAAAGCCCATCAAAGTGTTTCTGTAGATAACAAGATCACAATGGTTTTAGTCTTCAACATTGATGGGCTAGCAACAGTCCAAACTATAACAAAAAGAAAAAGAAGAGAAGTAGAACTTGTAGTACTAATAGTCATGGTTGTGGTCATTAACAAAAACATTACATGACATTGTAAGAACAGAAATAGAATAGACTGCACAGAAATCTTGAAGAAAGTAATAATCCTTATGAGAGCAAAACACCCTTCGTAAAATTTGAAAAGAAAAGTTAAGCCTCAATACCATGCTGTTCTGACAACAATATTGGAATCAAGGGGACAAAGAAGCAACCGCAATCCAACCTGCATCTGTTGGAACCCAGAATCAGTGGTCTAATGTTTCTTCTCAGTATATAGTTAGAAGAAAAGAAACATGAAGGCGAGTTCAGTTACCAACAAACGAAATGGCAATCACTCAAATTAACATGCACTGTTTAGTCATGTCCACTTAAGAGACACATGTTCCAGTTGTGTCCCAAACGTGTTTAGGACAAAAAAACTATGAAATATTTTGTATACGCTACGTGACGTGTCCAAATGCATCCAACAGTGTTGTATTTATGTCTGAAACGTCTCACACAGCCATGGCAGACATTTTGGTGCACCAGCAGCATGAGTTCCTATATTTTGATGCATCATATCTTATGGCTCAATCTCCAATATGCAAGTAAACCCACAAATAAAAATAAAGAAGAATAAAAATTTTCCTTAACCAAATGGTTTGTCTAATTATGAAGAGATCTGTTTGTGGGTAAAGCAATTTGGCAGTTCTACTGAACCAAATTATCTGCCTAAAAATGAAAATGCATAAATTACATATACTACAGTCTACAAATAAAAATTAAAACGCTCCACTATGTAATTTGATGAAATTCTCATGGTAAGTTGCTAACAAGCTTTAGACAATGCATAGTTACAGATAAAAGCTTTCAAAAAATTATTTTATAAGATTGAATTATAAAAGCAAGCAAGTTGATACTCCCAATAGTCCAGACTTCAGTCTAAATACGAAAACATTGGTATGTCACCTAAGTAGATACAGGGACACACAAATCTGATGCTTTGATGCTTCAAGACTTTTCAATGATACCAAATACTAATCAACTCTTTTTAGCTCATTCAAAAAATGGGATCAAGGATTATTTATCTAGTTTGAAGGCATATTTTTCAAGTGTTTTCATAGTTGGGATCAGGGGTTGTTAACATTTTTGGATTCTATAAAGCTCTTGGATACATGAGGTGTTGTATAGGTGCATTTTAGTGACCAATTTTCCTTTTCTGTGTAGTGGGTGTAGCCCGGCATCCTCTCATATGCCATTTCAGAATTAATTTTACTTGAAAGCACATATAAATAGGAAAATGTTTAAGACCCCTACCCACAATGACATGACATGATAGGCGTCAACACTTGATTTGTTACACACTCAGTCATGCATGGCCCAAATACTTTGCCTCGTCATTGTGGGTGAATTTGAGGTCTAAATTGTGGGTGGTCTCTCTCTAGCATTCATAGACATAGCGTGAACTCCGAAAATCCTACATAGCATGAAACTTCACAATGCATGAAATTGGAGATAAATGCTTAATGGAAATACTTTCCAATAAAACAGATGTTTCAGAATAAGCTCCAATCTACCAATCATACGATTTAGCCCAACTATGTGTGTGTGTGTGTGTTTATATAACATGATCAGATAATTCCAAATATTCAAATCATTGAAATCATTCCTGAGAAAAACACACACGGCCGCACAATGGAATACAACAAATTCATAATAAGTTAACAGCTTAGTTTCTAGTGATTATCGCAATCTGATTTCCCAACAAATTGAAGCTAAAATTGAAAATTTTCTACTTTTCTACGTACTGATTACAACACAAAACGTTGAAGAGAAACTAAAACCCCAACAGTCTTACATCGGTAGGCATAGTTGAGCCAAAAAGAGCCGTTTTTTATGACGATAACCTGAAATTGATTCGCGAAACAGCGGCTTCTGAAGAACGATGGAGCCAGTGTGTTTCGCTCGATCCCTTAAAAAGAACTATTTTATTCTTATGCCCCCCCAAAGTGCGGCATTTTGCTTTTATCGCCCAATACTTGCACTCTTTTGGACCCACCATTCAAAACAACAGTTGAATATTTTTGAAATTTTGTATGTTTGGTAATGTTTACGTTTTCAGTTTATATTTATAAAAATTTTATAAATTGATTTTTATTTATTTTTTGTTTATTTTTAAAAAAACATAAACTACAAATGCGTTTGGTAATTGACAAAATGTTTAAAAAAATTTAAAAATATAAAAAAGAGTGAGAAATGGCAAGTGGTGGTAAGTGGCGGCGAAAGACGATGGTGGAAAATGGTGACGGTGGGTGGCGGGTAGCTGGTGGTGGTGGTGGGTGGGTGACGGTGGCGGGTTGTAGCGAGTGGGTAGTGGTGGTGGTGGTGGCGGGTGATGGTGGCAAATGGGTGGCGGATGACGGGTGGTGGTGGTGGTGGTGGGTGGGTGACGGTGGCGGGTTGTAGGTGGTAGCGAGTGGGTAGTGGTGGTGGCAGGTGGGTAGCGGGTGGGTGGTGGGTGATGGTGGTGGTAGTGGTGGTGGGTGGTGTGGCGGGTGGTGGATGGTGGTGGCAGGTGGGTGGTGAGTGGGGTTGTTACCCCGCCTTCCTCTTGCATCCCTCCGGGGATTCTGTCGCTGGGGCTCCAGATCTGCCATGAGAGGGATGGAAGGCAAACCTTCGTGCCTCCCACCTCCCTCTGGGGTTTGTTCGTCAATGGCATGTGGTACCGGCCAGAAAAGGAGAGTGGTGGTGGCAAGTAAGTGGCGGGTGGTGGTGGCGGGCGGTGAATGGTAGTGGCAGGTAGTGGGTGGTAGCGGGTGGATGACATGTAGGTGGTGGTGGTGGTGGTGGCGAGGGGTGGGTGGTGGTGGTGAGTGGGTGGCAGGTGGGTGGGTGGTGGTGGCAGGTGGTGGCTAGTGGTGGCAGGTGGGTGGTGAGTAGTGGTGGCAGGTGGTGGTGGTGGTGGATGGTGGTGGCAGAAGACGGTGGTGAAAAATGGTGGCGGATGGTGGCTAGTGTTGGGTGGTAAAAAAAAAAAAACTGAAAACTCAAAATGGAAACACATTTTTTGTGTTTTCATTTTTTGGCCAAATTTATAAACTGAGACCACTGATTTATAAATCAAAAAATTTACCAAACAAGTTTTTATTTGAGTTTTTAAAATTTTTGTAAAAACAGAAAATTGAAAACGTAAATGTTACCAAATATTTTTTTTTTTTAGTTTTTTAAGTGCATCTTATGTAGATGTGTTTAAAAAGTAAAATATTTTTAAAAATTAATAAATACACAAAAATATGAAAAATATACTCTTTTTTTTGTTTATATTTTTAGTATTTAGTGAATTTTTTAAAGATTTTTTTCACAAAAATTATACTTTTTAAGTATATTTATGTTATGTGTATCTAAAAATGAAAAAATTCAGTAAAAACAAAAAAAAAGTATGAAAAATAAGAAAGTAGAATTTTTTAAAAAGTGTTTTTAGAAAGCTCAAACCAAGCAAAATGAATATTTTATTTATTTATTTGTTTATTTTCCTCACAAACAGAGAAAATAAAGGGCAATTACAATTCAGAGTGTAAGAGCAAAAAAAATTAACAAAACATGAAAAGTGCAACTTAAACACATTTTTATGTAATTTTATTTTCTATCTCACTATTCAGTGATTCTGCCAAAAAAACAAAACCTAATACAAAATTATTTTCAAAATTTGTTTTGAAATTTCTTTTCTAAGGACACCCATTTTGAAGAAATACTTTTAAATTGCTTTTATAGATTTTTGTTTTCATAACTCGTATTTTCAATCCAATATGATTATACAGTAGCATTATGAAGGGGTTGATTAACCAGTTTAAGCTAAAAAAGAAAGCACAAATTCAACCATAACATTTAGGGAGGTAAGGCTGATGATCGTTTGCCACAAATCAAAATTAACTTCTATGACAACACAAACACTACACAGTAATTTAATTAGCAAATCCTGCATCCCTTCCCATTGAGGCAGCAATTGCAGTCATTAAAACTTGCCATCTGTGCCTGTCCATCTACTAAATTTGTTTCCTTTGCTTCTTGGCTTGTTCAAGCTCCTCTTATTCACAAACATTTCATCATATTTTTATGTCAACCATGTCCATCATCATCAGCCATGCTAATAAGTTCTTTAGAAAGTATACATAACCACAACATTCTAGCATCATTTACTGTCATTGTTCTATTCTACTTTCATCAACATGCTATGGTCAGTTCAAGATTGTTTATATAACCACATATATACCTCCATATGAACCAATGGTGGTGGTCCCAGCCTAACATGAAAAATCATCTTTGCCTAGTTTTTTCAATCACCCTTGTTGAAAATGATGAATCTGTGTCCCAAAACATTTGAATACCATTTCCGCAAGCATATTGACAGTCATATCAGATTATGACCCCACTAACCGAGTGCCCTATTTCTAATTTCAACTTGACCATGTCATTTAGTTCTGAAGCCAAGCAGACTAAGATTGAATATATAGCCTCTGTTTGTGAGTGACATCGATCACCAGAGGTGAAGATATGAACTTTGTTCTCAATATATACCCAACTGCAACCAGTAGGCTTCTTCACCTCCTTCCCTCTCATCTTCTTCCTTATCCTCCCCATCTCAACCCAATTTCCCTCAGCAGCGTAGACATTAGCCAATTGCACATATCGCGCCCCACTGTCTCCTCCAATCCTCAGCAACTCTTCCTCTGCTTCTCTAGCAAGTTCTACATTCTTGTTTATCTTGCACACATTCAAAAACGTCCCCATAAGCACAGCATCGCGTTCTATAGGAATTCTTCTCATAAATCCGACTGCCTTCTCTACTTGATTGGCCCTCCCATACAAATCAATCATACACGCATAGTGATCAATTTCGGGTGTTATGGCATAATCTTCTGTCATGGAATGGAAATATTTCTCACCTATTTCCACTAAACCACAGTGACGGCACGCTGACAAAAGTGCAAGAAAGGTGACTTCGTCAGGCGTGAACCCTCTCTCCAACATTTCCTCAAAAAGCTGGATAGCTTCATTTTCATATCCGTGATGAGCATAGCCAGCTATCATCACATTGTAAAGGATTGTATCTCTAAAAATAGCCCTTTCAAACATTTTTTGTGCATAATTTATATTCCCACATTTCGAGTACATATCAACCATTGCACTAACCAATTTCTTGTCCATTTCAGTTCCTGTTCGCAATATGTAAGCATGAATTTGCTTGCCAGGATCCACAGCCGCTTGCATTGCACAGGCACCAAGCACACTAATGAGGATCAAAGCATCAGGAACAGTCGATTCCTTTGCTTTAAACTCACTTAAAAGACCAAAGACAGCCTCACATTGATGAGATTTCACATACCCAGAAAACATAGCTGTCCACACGACACAATTCTTCTCGGAAAATGAATCAAAAAGCCTTCTGGCTTCTACCATGTGACCTTGGGACGAATATCCCACAATCAAGGAAGTGATCGAAAAGGAATTTTCCATCCCAATAGCTGCATGAACTGACTCTGCATACTTCATATTACCACATTTGCAATAAACATCAACAATTCCACTACTTATGAATGGATTAGAACTCATCCCATCTTTCAAAACCCACGCATGAACTTCCTTGCAAAGCTTCAAATGTTTTAGACTAGAACAAGCACTCAAAACACTAGCAAAAGTGTGTTCATTCCTTTGGAATCCATTCGTCAACATACAATAAAACATCTTGATTGCCTCCTCCTCGTAACCATTCTGTGCATACCCTGAAATCAATGTATTCCAAGAAACCGTATCATTTAACTCCGGTCGAGTCCAAAAAAGATTTCTAGCCATTTCCAACTCTCCTTCTCTACAACACGCAGCAACCATCACATTCTTCGAAACCAAATCAACAACAACACCACTATCTCCATCAAACACTCGGCACACTTCTTCAAAACACCCACATTTAGAATACATGTCAATGAGAGCACTCATAGCAAACCCGTTTGAATCATTTCCAGTTTTAACCATAAATGACTGCAATTGCCTTCCTAATAACGGAACACATAGCTTCGCAGTCAGATTAAGCATTGTCGTGAGAGTAAAATCGTCAATTTTAACCCAATCACGCGTCGATTGCATTTTCAAAAACAGTTCGAGTGCATGAGTTTCATACCCATCTGTTTTTACAAACCCAGATAACATTGAATTGTATGTCACTGAATCTTTCTCTGGAGTGGACTCAAAGAGTGATTGTGCATGTGACAAGTTTTGGGTTTGTATGTGAGCCCAAATAATTGCGTTCCAAGAGAACACGTTTCGTTCAAGCATTTCGTCGAACAGTTTTTGGGCGTCTTCGATGAGACCGTGTTTGGAATACAAAGTAATGAGTTGATTGGAAGTGAAAATTGTCGGTGTAAAACCTGCTTTCATGGCGCGGCCATGGAATTTAAGCCCTTCTTTCAGCGACCTCATTTACATATACAATGATGATGTATATATGTAAACAAACATGTATGTATACAGAGACATGTACATACATACATGGAGTTCAGAATAATGGCTCGTTGTCGTTGAACTCCGCTAAGGCTCTGTTTGGTTAAAAAAAACTACTTTTTGACTATTTAATTTTAAGTGTATTTTTCTTTTTTCTTTTTTTTTTAACTTTTTATTTATGGTGAGCAAAGAGGAAAAAATCTCTATTTGGTCAAATAATTTTTTCTTTCAATTTTTGTTAAAAGTTCTTACTTTTTAGGAAAAATCATGCTCACGCATTTTTTTTGTTTTTGTTTTATACTTAATGACGCGTCAAATTATTTCCAAATAGAATTAGAATGTCTCGAGTTTATAAATAAATTAATTAAAAAGTTGATTGTCCAATACAACTTTTTGAGCTAATTATAGTATTCATTTTAATGATTTGATCTGGTCATTTTTAGCTCCTATCTATAAATCATTTAAAAAAATATTAAATCAATTCAATAATCATAATTTCATTACATATGTCTTTCAGATAAATGAATGAAAACATTTTTAAAATCATACTTTTGCTTCATTTAAAAAAAATAATAAGATTATATAATTTCACTCATCAAATCAAATTGAATATTTGTTTATAAATAATTTATGCACCAAAATAAGTCAAAGTACACATCTCATCATAATAAGATCTAATCTCAAATCTTTAAAAAAAAAAGAAAAAAAGAAAAAAAAGGACCTAATTTTGATTAAAAAAATTAATGAGGAAATCAATCAAATAAGAAATTTTAGTGAATTCTTGATACTTTTATGTAATTTAATTTTGTATATGATACAATAAAGCATAGGGTGATTCTACTTACACCACTCTTTTACCTCCTTACACCCTTCATATGAGACTATTTTTTTCTTCCAAATTTATTCATGTGTGAAATTACTTAAAAGGACAAAATACTAAAATTAAATATATTTGATTATCTCCTTACACCCGTTGATCTTCAATCCCTAGTTATGTTTTTCCTTTCTCAACTTTTCTTTTACACATCTCTTTGGAAAAAGTGATAATCATAGCGTTTTGATCATCAAAAAAAGCAATGGATGAAGAAACGGTGGTGAAAAACTATCAAAAAAGTGGAATGGTGAGTTTTTTTTATTAGTTTGGTAGGTTTTTGTTTCAATTTTCTGGGCTGGTCTGCGACTTTTGTTCGGTGTTTCGAAATTGAACAAAATAACATAGTCCGGCATCACAGTGCCAAACAAAAAATATAAGTCTGGTATCAAATTGCCAAATAAAAGATACATTTTCAGTAAATTACTGAACAAAAAATATAAGTCTGGTATCAAATTACCGAACAGGCCCAAATTATTATTTGGAACAAAGTGGCTCTGTAAATGTATAGCAACAAAATGCTAGACAAATCTATTTTTTCCAGCAATATAACATTGGAGTAATTAAAATTCACTAGTATTTTATTATCGAACAAGCCCAGCACAAATTATTACTATATTATTTGGAAGGAAGTGGCTCTGTAAATGTATAGCAACAAAAGGTTGGAACAAACAATTTATTTCGGCATTATAGCACTGAATTTTTGTAAATTGTTTCGCATTGTGTGACCAAACAGGCACTTCAATGTGGACTCTACTGGCTTTGTTGGGAAGCGTATTGAAATTATCCAATTGAATGGTAACTTAATGGTAGGAAACAAAATTTTATCCGGTAACGTGGAACTAGAGTAATTCAAATTGTTTATTATTGTATTACCGAACAGGCGTAACACAAAGTATGGATGTAAAGAGATGGGTTTTGAAGAGTTTTTTATCATAGGGTTTGTTTTGGTAATATATTAGGTGTAATGAGAATTCAATTTTTTTTAAGTGATGTAATGAGATGGAGGGTGTAAGGAGGTAAAAGAGTGGTGTAAGTAGAATCACCCTAAAGCATATTATCCTTTGCCTTTGAGAAATTCTATTTCTACACACTTGTTTACCTCAATACACACCATTTCTTAGTGCATAAACTTATGAATTTGATTAAGTATTATTTGTCTCATTTTACACACCACATATTTCAATTATAACCCTTAACTCAAATATTATACACACTTTCCACCCAAACACACGCCTAAACAGCCACTGGAAATTGATAGTTCCTTCACTGCTCTTCTAGAGCTTCCGGTGAATGAAGCCATGGATCTCTTACACTCACCAGAAACCAACCAAACAATTTTGTGCAGAGGTATTTTTCTGGGGATTAGTGTTTGGGGTAGTCGATGCGGTATTTGGGGCAGTTCTAGAGGGAGTCCTCAACGGCTCATCTCTACCATAACCCATGTTGTAATTCAATCGAAACCCATTTTGAATCATATAATCTCCGGTTGTTGTTGTTGGGTATCGATTCGTTCCCAGAACAAGATCTCGCCTTCCGTTTTGTTCTTGATTGTGCTGATTTTGATACTGATTCTAATAGTTATCAGATACAAAATTGGAATTCAAATTGTGCAAAGTGAAAGCTAGGGTTTACTCTCAGCATGTTGATCAGATGATAAGGGTAGAATTCTAGCTGCGAAAGCTTAAAAATATGGTTTTTTGACACCGATTCTCTTTGAAGAGGGCTTTCCTGAAAAGAAAAACTCATCAGAAAATCAAATTGGCAGTTTTGCGACGATAGTAATAGAAGTGATGATGACGAGAAAGAAGAGACCGTCTGATTGTTGTTGATAACAAACCATTCAAGATCGTCTTCTTCTTTGTTATTCTCCATTGGATTCATAACCAAAACAAATTGAATTGATTCTAGAGAGAGAGGTAAAGAAAACAAAAGGATTTATGAATTTGTTTATTGTTGGTGGTGGTAGAGAGAGAAGAGAAGAGATAAGATGAGTTGGCTAACTTTTGACGTCCATTAAGATCATTTTATTTTAGAATATAATTGTTATTAAAATAAATTTTCATTAAGTGTATATGCCGAGTAAATATGTGAAAATAAAATTTCCTCTTCCCTTCACTTAAGACATGGTTGATGGTAAAACTGTGCTTAAATCATGAATTTAAATAAAAAATTTATTAAAAAAAATACATAAATTTGAGTAAGAATTTAAAAAGAAAAAGAGAAAATAGACATGACCCAAACACTGCTAAATAGAATAATGCCCATTTTTACAAATAATTATTTTGACAATTACCATTCTTGCAAATACCCAGATCCAAGGTCCTATCAATAAAAAATTGAGCTTCTACGAGATCAAATAGTGGATATAGAGTTTCGGTTCTTGTTAAGAAACTTATGATGGGTTGTACAACAAGAATCTGCCTACCACTGGGGCTAAAACACTTGTGGTAGGGTGTGCTACATTACAAATGAAAAAAAAAAATCTAGTTTTACATTAGCATTCAAGGAAAAAATAATTAATTTACAAGAAAAAAAATATTTAAAAAGACCAATAAACATACATAGGAATACAAAGTACATCAGCCAGTGCTACCAGAGAGCTCCCCAGAAAATGCACTTCCATATGATGTTGATCCAGTTTGTGAAGCAGCACCTCGAGCCTTTTGTAATTGGCGTATCCTAAAAACATCTCTTGGGAGTGGCTGGCTTTGGACGGTCGCAGTTTCATCATCTTGCCCTGCAAATGATAAGAACACACCTTATAATGAACTATTTTCACAGACCCAAAAAAACAAAAAGAACTATATGTCGGAATTCATACAAAATGGGAGACAACAAATAGTATCTTCGACATTTCAACAAGTAAAAAATACACAAATGTCAAGCTCTTTAACTCTTGAAGAACTCATTGAACTAACTAATAAGGATGCCAACAAGATGAAGATATCTGACATGGATATCGTGTTTCACTTGACTAGAGAAATGGGTTACGACATGGATGTTGATCACCCAAACAGTGATATGTGTAGCTATCTCATCTATGCACTTAAAATGATGCAAAATTTTCAGTCATTTAATTAGTATGTTTGAGCATTGTACTTGAGTTGTAATGTGGGCAAAAATTGACGCTCATCACAATACAAACACAAATCCACGTATAGAGATGATGTTCCTAAATGTCTATGTGATATAGCATAATATAACATGTCAACGGGAGGAAGGGGTTTAGACATACTGTCTGCATCTCTTCTTTTCCTGTCTCTTGTTGTTTTGAAAGATGAACCACTTGGAACAGGATGAGGTTTGCTTGATCCAGAAAGGTCACTTGTACTTGGGGCAGGACCAGTCTGCAATTGTGTTGAAGGATTCACTGATTTTCCAGTTTGCCCTGTTGGTATGTTGCTTTGCAGGCATATTGATAATACAAAATCAATGTCTGGTGCTGGACCTAGCAATTTTGGCAACGAATCATCAAACATTAGCCAGTCAAACAGCACACAGAAAGAGAGAGAGAGAGAGAGAGAGAGAAGGTACAATACGATACAATACGGCATTCCTTGGACACTTTAGACACAATACGACATAATAACTATTGTGAAAATTTCAAAAATGTGTTGAGTAAGAAATATAATTGCAAAATGATAAAGGTACAAGTTTTATTTGAACAATCCTATGCATGAATCACTTGTGCATTCATTATTTTGTAATTATTTTTCCTACTCTATTTTTTTGATATTCCCCCAAAATCATTCATCCTTATGTATATAATAAATACAATTCTGTACATGTCCCCCCAGGTGTCATGTCCTATATTTTTTGAAAATTTCCGTGTCGGCATGTCCATGTTTCTTAGGTTTGAGACTTACCCTCTACAGCAGGCAAATTTGCTATAAATGCTAACAAAGCAGGCGGTGTTGCTTTCAAAAATTCATTGGGAGTATTGGGTGTTCCACCACCAGTTAACACAACACTTGAAGCAGTCAACGTGCTTGAAACAGCTGGAAGTCCAGGTGCAGACGGGCCTGAAAAGAACCCAATACCTCCAGTCAAATGATGTCAGGCGTTCTTGGCAAATAAAACTGTCAAGTAAACCATCCAAAAAAAAATTGTTGAAAAAAAAAAACTATCAAAAAAATTACAGCATACCAGCCTTCTGCCTTGGATCGTAAATAACCATTCTCGAAGTATCTGGATAAACCACTTTTGCAGATTGATTTGAATTGGTTGTCAGTCCTGAAGAGCCCCTATCTGTCCCCAAGTAGCAGCAGATAATTACCAAATGATATGAAAGAGAAATTACAACCAAATATAAATTTTAAGAACAAATGCTACATTAGTACCTACAAAAACAGCTCCATTTGCCAGAGCAGATTTCTCGGTCTTCTTATTGACGTTTTTAGAAAGCCACTGGGAAAAAAAAAGAGTTCGTATTCAGGTATAAGAATCCAGAGAAAATACCCAAACATGTTAATATACATTTTACTAAAGATATAGATGGTATGGCATATATCTTTATTTTCAATTTCACATGCAGAGCCCAAGCGAGACATAAATCCAAATAATATTTCTGCTTCCCTCTAACCATCTACCCCTTCTGGCTCTGGAATAATAACCAAAAACCAACATCCAAATGCTCTCATTTCAACCTCCAAAACACATGAAAAATATATTGATGGATATTATTGATTGATATTTTGATTCTGTTACAATTGATTGATTATATAGATGTAGGTTAGGTGGTGGTAGGTGAGGAGTAGGTGAGTGTAGTAGGTGAGTGTGTGGTAGGTGATGGTAAGTGTGTGGTAGGTGATGGTAAATTCTAACAACACACATACTCACACAACCCATTTTACCGCTCCATCTTATTAGAAAAACAAGTCAGTTCATAGTTCAAAAGACTGATTCCCCGACCACTGGACCACCTTGAGGGGACTCCGCCAACCAACGTTTGAAGGTTACCCACCCAACCTGTACAATCTTCCTTCATGCTTTCAAGGTTTAACATAGAGGCTGTCTTCAACAGTTTCATCTCGCAATTTGTGCAACAGTTAATGTACAAGTGAATAAATCAAAAAGTTATTAAATTGTTTTGCGTGCTAAATCTATTCAAATGGTAAATATTTTATGTTGTCATGCATTTTTTTGGTTCATGTCCCTCAAATTTTCCAACTTCTTCTATCTGATCTACATAGATGTTTAACAATAGAAAAAAACAAAACATTCCTAATTAAAAATTCCCTTTTTTCCGCTCCATATACAAGTATCGAACAGTATGACAATTTCCATAAATTTGTGTACACTGGACCAATGTAAAATGCGAGACAATGGATCAATATGAGAAAACATATATAAAAATATTGGCCAAAGACGACGTAAAACTGTATGAATGCATGCTTGGGTGTGACATAAATCTTTGCTTGGACAGCATAGCAACAACTAATTTAACTCAAACAAGCACTATAATAACTAGAGAGAAGACAAAAAGAAATGATAATTAACAAGAGAACATTCAAAACTTAATAAGTACCTCTTGCCGTGCCAAATGATCCAAATCCTTAGAAGAGCAAGGCCAAAGATCCATGAAACTATAACGTGATACAACATCTTGTAGTGAACTCTCTAAAGCTGATTGACTCTCTTCCCCTGTTCTGGAAAGCGCTTCTTTCCTTCTTTGCTCAACCTGTGTCAGAAGAACAATTGTAAAGCTCAGACCTTAAAAAAAAAAAATGACTTCAAAATGAACAATTAAGAGCCGAACTATATAAAAATGTCAAAATTATTCCGTGCTTTAAAGAAAAAATCCGTGTAAAAACATTAACTCAAATAGTATTTAAATCATATTCTGTAAAACAATCTTAGAATAAACAAAAGTCAAAATTAAAGGAGAGAATAAAAGCAGAAAGAAAAGAAGACAACTGCCTTCACTAAAAAATTTATAGATCTAGATAATACGATAATAATCCAGAAACTAACAAAAAAAATAAAGAAAAAACAATACACAAAGATGATGCATCAAGATATGGCACTACCTTCAACATGCTAGCAAGATCTCCATAAGTTTGCTCAAACTGGGTGAACCTTTTCCAAACCTACAAGAGACAATACACTAAAGCTGTCCATTATCAATTAGCAATAACTGAAATCAGATGATGAAAGCCTAGGATCTCAACAGACAAATATGAATAAATGGGAGAAGGTAACAAGTGTGTGAGGGTTGAACCTCAAAGGCAAATTGTACAATATGCATTTAAAGAAGAAAGAAAGAAAAAAAAACTGAATATAGTAAGATTGAATGCTTCAGAATTTAATAAACAGATAAGGCGTACATTATGGCTCGAGTCCAAACATAAGAAATTCACAACTTAGTTCAATTTTTTTAATTTATGACAACTAATCAAACGAATTTTCACACAACCATTTGAATCTCTATGATGAAAAATAAAACTACAAATATATGAACAAAATGTGAAAGCAAGTCATGGAATTCATTTCTTCTCTATTAATCTAAGCAATAAATAGATACATATCTTTATTTTCCATATTAAATATTATTTTGTATGCCTCTTCAAAGATATAGCTGAAATTTGCATCAATAATTGTTTGGTGAAATTAGGGCCGACCAAACAGAAGTAGAGAAACTAATCATTTGAACTAGAAGAAGGCTCCCTTTAATTATATTCACCAAGGTGCACCGCTAACTAGTATAATATGTTCTGCTTTCCAATTCTTAATTTTTTTTTTTCATTATTATAAACTCATACATTAAAAAAAAAAAAATTAAAAAGTAGTGCTAAGTATGGCGAAATATTTATATTCATTTGCTGGGTGTTGGTTTTTTGGATTGTATTTGGATTGTACAAGGTTTGTGCCCCCTCAGCGGGTTTCTCATAAAGGACATTGGATTGAAGGCTTTAGGGCACCAAGAACTGATCAAGAGCTTCATCAAAGATCAAAGTGAAGTTTTAAGGTGAACACTGGCATGCCCCCTATGCATTTTCACATCTTCTTCAAGTTTGCCTTAGATTTCGAATTGCAACAAGAGCCGCAGAGGTGTGTTCTTAAACTACTTTCTTGTTGGAACAGCATAATCTCATGGGTTTGAGATCTGGATTTTTAAAATTGATGGCTACAGCTAGGCTTTACCAACAATAATGCAATAATTACAGCACAAACAACCAAGTGCAATAAATTATACCTCCACAGATTCCTCGGGTGGGAGTGAGCTCAACGCCCGTTCAAATAATGCCCTGATATTTCTGTCATCATTCAAACGAGACAAGAAATCTGCATATCTGCAAACATTAGGTCAGGACATAATTGATTCTGCATGCAAATCATCAAGGCAATCATATGATTCATTTTATTTATTTTTTCCTTTATGGTGTAGTCATTTTCACAAATATAAACACATGCATTGGACCATTTTCAGCACAACATAACATTTAGAGGCTTCCGAGTCTGATGCATTGAAGCCACATAACCAACTTTGATAGTGATATCCATGCCAACATCCATATTATTATAGCATTATGAGTGTGTAGTTTCTAAGATAGCAGAAAAGGTTAAAAAACTCACTCAAGGATGTATCCAGGTTCCTGCATAAAGCGTTTCAACCCTACTTTGAAAACATTACGTGGCAATCATATGATTCATTTTTATTTATTTGTTTCCGTTATGGTGTGGTCATTTTCACAAATATAAACACATGCATTGGACATTTTTCAGCACAACATAACATTTAGAGGCTTCCAAGTCTGATGTATTGAAAGTCACATAATTGTTAAAATTGATGTATTATTGATTGATGTTATATTGAATGTTAGGTTGAGCTCTCTCCTTTATAGAGGAGAGGGAGAACAATTACAAACCGAAAGTAGAAGCACAAACCAAACAACATTATTAAAGGTACATTATTAAAGCATACTAATTATTATACTAATTATTATACTAACCTAATTATTAAAGCAACATTTTACATATTATATTCTAACAGCCCCCCTCAAACTCAAGGGGGATAGGAACCTACCAACTTGAGTTTGGAGAGAGTAGAAAAATAAAATAAAATAAAATAGGATAGGAGACACTGTATGGTGGTGTCAGATTGTTGTTGAAGATAATGTCTGGACAGTGGACGAGGTCATGCTGGACCGTTGTAGAAGCTGACCGGAATCAATGTCGGGACAGTTTACGGGGTCATGCCGGACCCATGAAGGAGCTAACCGGAATCAATGTCGGGACAGTTTACAGAGTCTTGTCGGACCCATGAAGGAGCTAACCGGAATCAATGTCGGGACAGTTTATGGGGGTTCATGTCGACGTTGTAAAAGTCCGCCCCTCAAAAGGTGTGCCCAATCTTTCAAAAAGGCGGTGCCCAATCCATAAAAGCGTGCCATCAAAAGGCGCGCCCATGTTGTGTTCTAGCGCGAGCGGCGCATGATGCGCGTGTCTGCCTCTTCATCATGGTCTTTATAAACCGAAGCGGAGGCTGAGGCTTGGAAGCATACAAAACCGTTGAAACCTCTTCGTTCCTCTGAAGCTTGTCGCTAAGAGCTGCAAATCTTTGAAACACTCTGTAAACACTCTGTAACCAACCCTTCTCTGAACACTCAGCAACCCATAACATGGCCTCGTCTTCCCGTTCAGCTACCCAGATATAGCCTCTCGTCCCGTGGTCTGCTCACTCTCTTTCCCGACCTCAACGAGTCCACAGAGAGGATAACTGGTGCGGTGCCATGTGAACCTTAAACCAAAAGCGCCTCTTGTTTTTGCTTCCGTTGAACTTTCCGATGCGGTCGGTGGAAGCAAAAAATGGCGTGCAAAACTGATATGAGTCCAATCAGTATACTTGAAGTCATGTGTGGAGACCATGACGGCGTCACAACCTGTCGCACCACGCTGCAGAGTAGGACAAATTGAGGTGCAGCAGTTAAACGCCCACGGCTCTACTCCAGCGCATGTATAAGGATGCGCGGCAGAGATAAGTGTGCTAAAGGCAAAATAAGAACTGAACGGAAGGCCACCTTATGTTCCGATTTGGAGGTGCCACCATATGTTCGCAGTGGGCAGCAGGGAGTAGTGATCATGCCCATGGAGTGGAAACACGGAGGCAACAACCGGCAAGGCCGCTCCAGGACGGAGGCAAGAAAAAAAGACCGCGGCTAGAGTAGAGAAGAAAAAAATCCCGCCTGTGGATGAGGTTGTTGGTGTGGGTGTTTTTTTTTTTTTTTTTGTGTTTTAAAATGGTGATAGCCGGTGGAGCCCCACATGAATAAAAGAGAGGGTTGGTGGTGCAATCGTTCTTCTGTTTGTTTTTTTTGTTTTTGTTTTTTTTTTTTTTTTTTTTGGAAAGTAATAGAATAATGAAAAAAGAAGGTTTCGTTGGCCCACGGTTTTGTGAAAACTTGCATGGTTGTATTTGTTTTTGTATATGTTGTTTTTTTTTTTTTTTTAATAATAAGAATAAGAATAGAATAAGGCGGAAAGGCATGCTGTCGGGGGATTGAAAGTGAAAATGAGAGAGAGAAAGGGGGTACATGATGAGGAGGATATAATAAGAATAAAGAATAAAAAAAACAGGTTTGGTGTTGTAGTGGTGGTGCTGTATTGGAAAGAAACAAAGATAGTGAGGTAAATAATTAAAAGAAAAGAAAGGAAGAGAGGGGTAAAGAGAGAGGAGGAAAGAGATACATGTGCAAATCATTGTGTTTCGTGTGCTTTTCAAAAAGATGGAGTAAAATAATAAAAAGAAAAAGAAAGTTGAGTGGGCTCTCTCTCTGTAAACTGTGTGTGTGTGAATGCGCTAACCCAAAACTGCCGAGAGAGTGAGAGAACCCGAGAGCAGATGCATGTGTGTATGTATTCATCTCCCAATGTATGCCGTGTGTGTGAATCTGGAGGGTTCTTCCGGCGGAGGTGGTGGGGATCTGGAGGGTTCCGCCGACGGACATGGCGATGGCGGGGACAGTTGGCGTGGCCGAGAAGGAAGCAGAAAGCTGCCTGGGCATATCAGGGGGAAATCTCATGGTGCCGTCCATGAGTTGCATGACCAGCCTTTCGTCATCCAGAATAGCTGTTGGGCTAGCCTCCCACCAGAACTTCTTCGTGATGTGATTAAGAGGCTGGAGGCAAGTGAGAATACATGGCCTGCTCACAAGCACGTTGTTGCATGTGCTGCTGTGTGCAGGTCATGGAGAAAAATGTGCAAAGAAAGTGTCCAGCCGTTGATCAGAGTGAAAGGACTGCAGCGACGGGTTAAAGTCCACAGTGGTGGTAGATGAAGACGACCGAGACAGTGGTGTATGGGAGGACAACAGTGAGAGGAGGGGCAGTGGTGGTGGACTTGAAGAAATTTCAAGGTATGTGTAGAAAATTCTAGCGGATTAGGTTGAGGTCCGGCGGGCGACCAAGGCGAAGTTGCCGCCCGCCGGTGAAGCAAAAATACTAGGTTCTTAAATGTATAGAGAGAAAGAGAGAGAATAAATTGTGTATTGATTGATGTATTTAATGGTGTGTTGAGCTCTCTCCTTTATAGAGGAGAGGGAGAACAATTACAAACCGAAAGTAGAAGCACAAACCAAACAACATTATTAAAGGTACATTATTAAAGCATACTAATTATTATACTAATTATTATACTAACCTAATTATTAAAGCAACATTTTACATATTATATTCTAACAATAACCAACTTTGACAGTGATATTCGTGCCAACATGCGTATTATTATAGCATTATAAGAGTGTAGTTCTAAGATAGCAGAAAAGGCAAAAAAAACTCACTCAAGTATGTATCCAGGTTCGTGCATAAAGCGTTTCAACCCTACTTCAAAAACATTGTGTGCAACCTGCATGAATATGTAGCAATCAAAAAGATAACCTCCACAGTAGAGCCCTAAATCAATATTACTAACAGGCTAGAAGTTGCCGTACAATGTCTACTTATCAAGAGACCCTTTATATGCTTTCCCTCTGGCCGCAAAAGGTTCTCATACTGTAATTTATTTTTTTTCTCAAAAAAGCTCAGACTGCAATATAGATTTACCAATTACCTTTGGATCTTTGTCAAGACAAAAGGCCATCATGGCATAAGCTACGAAAACATGGTAAGTGCAGTTCGGAGATTTACGTGCATCAAGAAAGTACTTGCGAGCTGCTTCTACTCCTTCAGTTCTTCTTAGAAAGCGAATATACTACAGAATCAACACATAAACACTTCAAAATCTTTTACAATTTCGAGCACAATGCATTTTCTTAAAATGTCCAAAATTCAAAGATAAGCTTCAAAACATGCTGCTCGTCATATTTCTTTTCTCCAATCACGTAACATCAGAAAAATAAGTACATATTTCTAGTTTCAATGATACCTTAAAAATGGAACACAGAGTGATTAAAAAAGTAAAGCCACTTGCTTCAGAGCAGAATTACAGAGGAGACGAAGCTGAGGGCGGTAATTAGGGAACTTTAAGTAGTTCTTTAATCATATACAAGCAACCAATCTAAGTGAAAACAAATTGGGCAAGGGTGAGGTTACTTTTTTTTTTTTTTTTTTTTCCCCTTCTTTTTTTTTTTTTTTTTTCCCCTTCTTTTTGGTGGGGGGAGGGAGTTAGGGGTGCTGCCCGCTAATTTCTTACATCGGCACACATTTACCATTTTATAATTATTTGATTTAACCTCACTTATTTTCCATGTTTCACTTTACATGTTCATCATTTCCAATTAACTGAAAATCACTCCATACAGTGGATTCAACCTGAACCAACATGGCAACCTAAACATAACAGAAGCTAAATTGGTTATAGAGAGTCAGTCTGGTTACAGAATTATAGCAGTTGATAACCCAACAAAATAATAAGATATTACTTAATTGAAGTAATCAGTATCATTTAAACACTTATATTTACCTCATAATTTGGTTGATCAAGCAACCCAGTATGCTTATCATGCCAAAGTTAAAGCATACATGATTGTGTTCGTCAATCAGCTTGGCTCGAAAACAATCATGATATGGCTCATATTAGCTTTTTTTATTACTAATTATATTCAAGTTAAGTTAGGCCTATCCATTACCTTCCTCTGTTGTTAAAATATACGAGGGATTGTAAAAAACAAAAAGGCAATTTTTGCATATATAAATATATATAACAAAAGGTTTCGAAAAGGAAAATCACTTTGTTCTTCTACATACCCTTTTGCATTGACCTGGTTTTAGCAATCAAACAAAGGCATATGGAGGCAAAAAAGTAAATGAGGTAGAGATATCAAGAATGCCAAAGTTGAAGGAAAAAAAAAATTATGAGATCTATGAGACACATTTGCATTTGCACAGCTTGACTAAGAAAAGGCAAACAAACTACAATTACATCGGCATGTCCTAATAAAGTTACAAATTTCAGAACACACGAACATTTACTTGTGCTAAAAATGGCTCTTGCTTTGGTTTTCAACCACTCTCAATGATTAAGCAAATAATTAATCATTATGCCATTAAAAAGGTTATTTATTGCTCTTGACCCATCCACGTTTGAGTATAGAAGACAGACGTCTCAGTTTTTTTGTAACAGTACATTAATTATGGTACATCACACATGTAATGAAATAATGTGTCTAGTAAAAAATTAAAAGTCCATACTTGTATATGTGACAGTGCTGTTGCATTGACGCCATCCCCTAAAAGGCTTTCATAGACTTTCTTTGCAGGCTGCATGAAAATTGAAGAATATTGGAAAAACAAACACCCAAGAAATCTGGCTATGAGAAAGAAAACATATGTCACACTTGCTCAACCTGAATTGCTCCACGGGATTCCTCCAGCTCCGCATAAGCATACTTTAGCATTTCTGAATCTAAACATGAAAAAACAGAAATAAGAAATAAAGAAGAGGAGAGAAGGAAATGGAAAAAAACAGAAGCTACCGTAGCCTTGCTAGAGGAAAAGTAATGAGCCAGTAAATTGTTAAACCAATATTAAATTAGGAATGTTAGGATAAAGTTCTAAGAAAGGACAATAAAAAACCAACAAATGATTAGAAAGTCTATTCACCAAAGACAAAGTAGAGAACTATCAATACCCGGAAGAGCCTTCAGAGCTCGTTGAAATACTTTGATAGCAGAGTCTACTGCACCACTTTTTGCATGCCATGTAGCATAGTCGTACCATATATCCGGATAATGATATAAATACATGAGGCACTGGACATGGACACAAATCAGGGAGTTATTCATTTCGAGCAATAGGAAATACAGATGGCAACAATGCACCCAAACATAAACATGAGCTTGTTGATTTTATACATTTTTTCAATGAAATGATTGTATATTAACAAGCATGTACACTTCTAAGAAGGTAGCACGTCCGTGTCCGACACATACACTTATCAAACACTTCCCGACACGTGTCAGAAACTTCCGCACATGTCCTATTACTTCTTTTTTTTAAATAGACTTGGACACACTTCACATGATATGCGTGTCCATCGCTTAGACACAAATGAAACACATTATAAGTTTTTTTTTATTTTAAAAAAAGGCTTAAAAGATCATTTGAAAAGGACAGGGGCACAGTTGTCAAAGCTGGATGCAAGATGAAAATTCAGATTATTCAATCAAACTTTTAGGAAAATAATCGATGGCACAATGTCATGCATCATGGATTACGCTAGAACAGCTCTACAGTAGTAAGTAAATAATACTACTCTGGATTAAAAAGCACAAAAAACAACATATAGTTACATTTTTAGTACCTGCTCATATGTGAAAGCAATTCGTTTGTTGGCTGAAGTACTATCTATTCTTTGAGGGTTTCCTCTGAAACATACATTATTAGATTCAAGTCAGAAATATCTCAAGTGAAGTTTGCAGATATAAAACTATAAATCCATTCCTAATGGTTGCAAAGAATATGCACTTGGCAATAGTAAATGGCATCAAATGTCACATTTTAACAATGCAACATCAAATTCTAGAAGAAAGAAGACAAATAACCCATGATGAGGATGGTGAGACAACTGAGAAGCAAGACGAAACAAAATAGTGAGATGGGTTAGAAACAACTACTATTTTGCTGCTGGAAGCAAATGGATCAATTTTTCTATAAAAATTCTCCTTTTGGATGATGCTTTCTATGAAAAAAAAAATTAAGAGTGACCCATTACGTTATCTATTACATTTCTTACAGGAAACATATATTTTGTTAAGATCTAAAATAGTTTCCCCAATTCTACAAAAAATGCAATGGAAGAAAAAATCTCTTCATATGAAAATTTTCCCCACCAAACTTTCCAAGAACCCCCTCAATTCCATGGGATACAACTTTCTTAGTTTCATAGAACTCTCACTAGATAATGCATGAGTGAAAGGCATTACCTCCAAATATATTCAAAGCCTAAAAATTGTCTAGTGCAAGTGTAATATCATGCCAGTAAAATGGAGATCGGTTATGGTTCTTACTTTTCGAATGCTAGAAATCTTTTCCACGCCATCCACTGCAGTTCCTCCTATAAGAGCACAATAATAGATTACATTCTTCCACTAATGTAAACAATTAAGGAAGTATAATTATCTTTGTGGTATGAACATGTTAAAAAATACAAAAGCAATGTAGCTCCTTGAAAGCTTTCCAATATATATACCCATAACAAAAAGCAGACAAATTAGCACGTGTAATATTGTCAAATTTGCAGGTCAATAGTTCTCTTATTTACATGCAACACACTTCTGTAGATAAATGAATTTTAAAAAATAATATCATAATTTAAGTGGGAAGAAGAGAACATTTTTCTTGCAAAATTTCTCAGTGCTCTGCCAAAAGAGAAAGTAAACTTTCAAGCAGGCACCTTCAAGTACAGTAAATGACTAAGACTGCAGATTCTAATAACAGACTAATATTGAACAATGCTGGTGAATAATCTTAAATGCAAGTTGCACAAAGAAGCAAAGAATTACCTTATAAGAACCAGATGGTGGCACAGCAAGCATATTCCAATCAATTTCATCAACATATTTCTTCTGTTCCCTATAGACGGCCCTTGCGCTGTTATATTTTGGTTGATATTCGGATACTAATCCTTTTGCCTGCATTATATCATATTATCAGATTGTAATTTTATACACAAAATTGTTATAAAATTAATATGATAACCACAAAGACTTCAAACACCACATTTGTATAATAATTCCCGCCAATATCTAATAACTAATCTTGCATGTGCCTTTCAAAATGCAAAAATGTAAAGTCTAATTGTCAAAACTGAGTTCCGTTTGTCCTCGTGAAAGAAACTGAAGTTGATTACTACCCATATGGGAACATAACCTAAATTCATCCACAAATTACTGATGATGGTAAGATCAGGTTAATTTTTACAATTCTTCCAATGATTTTATTATAACTAAACTTATCATCCCATGTAAAATGGTTTAGCTAAACAAATATGTAAATATTTATCACCTTACATTTCCATTGCATTTGAAATTCAGAACCAAATACTGACCAGGGCACGGCTGACAGAATTTTCAAAATTTTCATAGTCCTTCCAAAGCTGTTCAACATGATGGGTAGGAGTAACAATAGCTTTTTGATATGCTTTCCTCACAGCAGTCATTCGCTGCGACTCTTCTTGTGTGCTTTGAGCCTGCACCCTCATCTTGCAAGATTAGTAAATGAAAATAGTGAAAAGACACAAAGCAGTTAACAGCGCGTCTTGTCTGTATAGAAGGAAGCATAAGACAGACCGGCATGGACTTTAAAAAGGTAATGTACTCCATCCATACAGGCCCCGATGCAATGTCTGCTCCTGTAAGGGCATTGCAAAAAAATAAGTATCATTAAAGTACTTTGATAAAACATCAAATTAAATCGTTCACTTAATAAAACCATTCTTTAATATTTATATGTACTTCAAGTTAATGTTTTCTCTTACTATAGAAAATCCCCCCCCCCCAACCAACTAAACCTTTTTTTGTAAATTTCTAATATTAATTAAATCAAAGCTTACGAAATATTTCCTCACCACCAAGACCTGCATTCTTTTGGCTTTCCTTCTAATCCTCACAGTGTTGGTGCTATAGACTTGAATCAACAATCTAACTTTTCAAGGTTGTGCATCCATTTGTCATCATTAAACATGAGACAACCAACTTAAGTGATTTTTTTTTTTTTTTTTTGATAAATAAGTATGTGGACTTTATTGAGAAAGCATCCAGATGATGCAAAGAATACAAAAACCATAAAGGTTATGTTCATTTTTCACATCAACAATGGTTTCTCAAATTAGTTGCACTGCATCTTACATGTTCTTTTTCACATCAACATATCTAATTTATACAGCCATATTCAGAAAAAAAGATAGTTAGAAAACCTACATGGTTCCATGCTTGTGCATATTGAAACATACGAAGCAGCACCACCATGCCATGTTTTATATTATTCTTTAATTATTTCAGTTCAAATGGCCCTTAAATGAAATAAATAACTGAACACCACCATATCCCATAATAGACGAAAAGCTAAAACCAACGCTCGGCATGATATCACAAACCAAGGGGCTCAAAGTTGATGTTGATGCCTCAGATCAAGACCTATTAGGAATGCAAGACACCTCTACATCTATACGTACACGAGTTCTTGAACCCCCCCCAACCAAAAAAAAAAAAAAAAAAAATTTGCACTAATAACTCTTTCAATGATAAAGAACACATATATTGCAATTGTCATTTGAAAATAAAAAATAAAATTCAAGTCACAATAAAACACTAAAATGGTGGAAAGATTAAGAAAGAATACACACCAACATAGCTAAGCATGAAATCAAAAGCTTTCCTAGTCTCTTCCTGACCCTCTACCCCCTTCTTCTCATTGACTTTCCTGATGAAACGGATATAGCACCGCCTACAATACCAAAATTTGCCAGAACATAATTAAAATTCACAACATCAATTGAGAGAGAGAGAGAGAGAGAGGGAATGAAAATGTGACTTAAAAAGGCATTTTAAGAGGCAATAATTAATATTGTCATGGAGGAAGTTAGGAAAGGAAAACCCAATCTTGTACACTAGCAACCCTTATTGAGATCTTGACAAGGTAAACACACCAGATTGAATATTGACCCAGTTAACATATACATATTGTTTGCCCCTTCAAGCCCCCATAATATTACTTCCTTTTTTTGGTAAATCTCAGACAACCCCTATTAACCTCATTTGAGAGTTCAAAACTATATATAAAAGCAAATGGTATGCCACCAGTTTCTAATAAGCAACTATATAAACAGAGAGGGGAAAAAACGTTACACAAAAAAGATCAACCATCCACATAAAAATAAAAATTATTACTGGAAAATGTGCATGGTCCCATTCAATATGAAGTATGACACGTAAATAAACCCATAAATAGAATATCCAGAATGTCACATAGCTGTCATTAACTGAAACAAATACTTCACAAATATGGTTAGAGTATTAGAGCTTTAGGCAAAAACACTTTAATAGCAATGTCCACATTCCTATGTGAACTCAATTACTTGGGGACAATAATGCAAAACCAGTGAAAAAACAATTCTGTGAGGTTCAGTTTGTTTAAATTTAATAATAATATAAAATATTTTCTTTGCTTTCTTTTTGTCTTTTTATTTTTTATTTTTCCTTTGAGGTAGTGGGGGAGTAGGTTTCACCATCTCCACTGAATGATAGACAGGCAAATAACAAAAGAAGTGATGTATGCTTAATTGACCAACTTCCAGCAAATTGTGGTCGGATAAAGAGTGAAACTAGTTGTTTGGGAAACAACTAGAAAGCCATTCAATTCATACAATAATTTACACCAACTTCAAATTTATAAAGCAACTGATAATAATCATCAAGTGAAAGATTCAAAATCATCATGTGAAAGATAAAACTTACCAAAGAGGAATTTGCAAACAGTTCAATAGACACCTACTAAAGAGTTGTTTTGTAGCATCGTCATTATTCACAGCCATGTGTGCCTCCACATATTGCTTCCAGTATTTAGCCTAGAGAAAAAGGGAGATAGATTTAGCAATCTAATATGTATGCCACACCAGCTCAAATAAGTTTATGCCTAGAAAATTGAATTACAAATTTATGATGAGAGAACAAGGGAACTAGTATGACAGAACCCAGTTCATTGAACATTTATCCCCCCAAAAAAAAAAAGAATAAAAAAAAAGTTCTTTGAACACCCTTATATACAATTTTTATTTTTATTTTTTTAAAAAAAAAAAATTTAACTGGGAGAAATGCACTAATACTTGTTCATAGCAACATTAATTTTCCTTTACACTTCCTTCACCCTCCTATATAAGGTATTGAAGTCATATCTATTTCCATAGAGAATGGAAGTTGAAACACAAGGAAAAATACTTTACAAACACAAACTAAAGTCAGCGATATGCCATGCTTGATGGATACCTACGACCCAACAATGCAACAAGGGCTAAAATCAAATCCAATCCTCATACCCCTTGAAACCTTCACGTTGTGTTTGATTGAGGGATTTGGGAAGGGATTTGGAAAGGAAAAGTGAAAAAGTAGGTGAAATGTAAATAAAATATGCTTACATTTTACCTAATTTCACACATCTTTTTCCTTTCCCTTCCCAACTCTCCCAACCAAAAGAAGCATTAAGCATATGATCAAGCATATTCAAATTTTATCTTTTTAAAAATAAAAAAGGAAACAGAAAATGTTTCTAAGTTCTATGATTAGCAACATCCGATGGCCATTATTGAAACCAAATGATGAGGTATTCAAGCTAAACTGGACCTGTCTAGGGAGACAACCAACGGAAACCCATTTATTTCCCATGTTTATTCAAATGGGTCTAATTTTTCCAGTTATTATACAAACAATATCACAAATTATTCTCATCAAAACAAATGGCGCGGCATTCACATCAGCCCAATCAATCAGACAATTGAAACAAACAATAACATAAAATTCATCATAAAGGTAAGAAATTAAAAGAGATGAAAAAATTCAAGCATGAAGAACGAGCTCACCGCAGTCGGGAATGTGGCCAAGAGTTGCTCATATATTGGAACTGCCTCCAAAATTGGTAAATGCTGAACACAGAAAAAACATGTCAAAACAACAACAAATTATGAATCATTAGGTTAAAAAAAAAAAATTGAAGTAAGCCACACAGTTCACAAAGAACATACCAGTGCCTCGTTTGCAAGTAATTCTGCAGCTTCAACGCTGTAATTATCGGCCATGAAGTCTTAATTTCTCGCTTTTTCCTGCAAAATCGAGTCTTGCATAAACACGCCAGCCCAAAAAAACTTGTTGAAAAGTCAAAATTTTCTGTACACTCTGTGAGTGTAAAACCCTAGCATGAATAGATACTGAGTTAGTGGTGGTAGAGAGAGAAGGAGATTACGGAGGAGAGAGAGAGAGAAGATGAACAGATTATCGTGATCTGAGTGTGAAGAAGCTTCGAAACCGCTGTCTCTCTCTCGAACTGGTTACGCCCGCGAAGATTGATCTGATACTAAACCCATTAAATAGTTACCTATTGGGCCGTGTTTGTCCGGGCCCGGCCCAATTGTTGTCCAACATTCAAATGGATTTGGATTTGTATTTGTATTTGTTTTTGTTTTTATTTTTGTTTTTTCAAATGGGTTGCTTCGCATAAGACAAGGTCCCCTACAGTGAACTCCCTTGGTCGGACTCTGAGGTTGTAGTGTGTTCTCATTTTCTATTGGTAGGAGGCCAGTCTGACAGCAGTGGTTTCTCTGAGCTCTTCAATTAGGTCAAGGTCCTGTTTGGTAGAGCTGTGGGAAAGTACTTATAGTTTATGTCTTAATAATTTATACCTTATAACTATGAACATAAGCTGATTTTCTGACTTATAAATTAAGCACCTCCTGTCCCACTAAAAAAATAATTTGATTTCTGACTTATAAAAAGTTATAAGCTGCATTGTTAAACTAAACCAAACACATCAAAATAACTTAAATTAAACTGAAAACTAAAATAAGCAGCTTTTAAGCTGCACCAAACAGGCACTATATACCATATATACCTCATAATTATAGAAAAAAAATAGTATAATTCTATACTTTCTAAATCATAATTAAGAAAAAAATTATAACCCAACACAAAAAAGTCAAATATCTCAAAATAATATCATAATTAAATAATAAAATTGATAATAATTAAAGAAGAAAAATAATAATTAAGGGTGCATATGTTATGTAGGTGTGCATAATAGAATCACTACTACAAAAATAGTTAAAGATCACACTTTGACAAAAAAAAAATATCTCACTTTTATTGAAAGTGTAATAAAAAAAAATTAGATTGATATTTTAATCACACTTAATTTGATTGAGTGTGATAATATTCATTTTTTATGTCATTTTTCAATTAAGTGTGATTATATATATATATATTTTTTAATCACTCATTCTAATTAAAGTGTGATTATATATACACTACTACTTTTTAATTACACTTTTTAAATAAGTGTGATTATATATATATTTTTTAATCACACACTCTAATTAAAGTGTGATTATTTATATATTTTTTAATCACACCTTCTAATTAAAGTGCGATTATTTATATATTTTTTTAATCACACCTTCTAATTAAAGTGTGATTATTTATATATTTTTTAATCATACCTTCTAATTAAAGTGTGATTATATATACATTACTACTTTTTAATCACACTTTTTAAATAAAGTGCTGATGATACAGTTACTACACAATGGGTCCCAAGTGGAATGGGTCGGACTAATCCACGCTTCTTCAACTGGTAACTGAGTGTTCAAGCCCACCAAAGAACTTGCACACAAGTTCAACAGGGAAACGGGGAGTCCCCCAGCGAACCCTCCGACGAGCAAGTTAGAGAGAGAGAAGTGTAATGTAGATATATGAATTGGAGATAGAAAAACTTAACCTTCTTCTTGTCTTCAACGTCTGCTTATATCATCTGGTAATCATTTCGCCGTCCCTTCCGACCTGCCACCTTGGTCGAAAGTCTATGCTGTAGCTTACCTTATTCAAAGTGAGGGGGTGCTGTTCTGACGGAGAGGTGTTGTCGTAATAAATGTTGTGATGGACTGCATTAATGGCAATGTGCAATGGCAATAACTTTGCAGATCTTTGTCTGCTGATGTGGCTTGTCCTTTACCTGCCACATGTCTAAATAACATTGGTTCTTCGTGCCATGTTAGCTTCCAGCTGTTCAAGATCTTATCAGTTGGGTTATGTGTTGGGCTCTAAGTGATGGACTTGGGTTGTTCATAGTGGGCTATGACCTTTTTGGGCCTAACCACGTCAGTAGTCCCTCATTTCCAAGTGCAGCTTTAGCCCAACGAAGGGAATACTAATGGAGAAAATGAGGACGACCGACCGCGAAGGGTGGCCGAGTAGAAGGGCTGACCATGAAGAGGGCTAACTGCGGAGAGTGGCCGAGTGGAAGGACCGACCATGAGGAGGACCGACTTCGAAGGGTGGTCGAGTGGATGGGCCGATAATGAGGAGAGCCGACCGAGAAGGGTGGCCGAGTGGGAAGGCCAACCATGAGGAGGACCGACCGTGAAGGTTGAGGTGAGGGGGGCGCGGGGCTCAAGAGGCGGCGTGTCACGTGATGACTTAAAGTGGAAAAGACAGGGTAAGGGGGGGTGGCAATGAATCGTGATCATACACGTGGCAACATCTTGTGGGGGGGGAGATTAGGCGTTGGGCCAGAAATGAAACGATAGGTCATGATGGGTGTTGAAAAGACAGTTTTGGCGGATGTTTTGAAAAGTTTTCAAATTGGCAAAAATTAATTGTGACCCTTGGAATACGGGCAAGCCTTGGGCTTTTGGTATTATTCGATTTACCTACGTCTTTGCAAAAAAATCAAAACATTCTAAGTGTTAACTCCTTTGTTGCTGACGATACACCTCTGCAACATTTTTTGAACTTCTTTGCGCCCGCATCCGAAGCTATTCGCAGACACACCACAGAGATGGCCCAAGAAGAAGCCGAAATCACTAGGGTTGATCCACTTGGGGATGACGATGCGGTGGAGTTGGCGGAGCAGTACAGGACGGAGAGGCAAATGGAGAGGGTAGGAGAGCCGGCAGTACGATCCCATTCTTCCACCATGATGGCGGCCCCAACGCCGATAAGCCAAGTGGAGCCAGATCATTGGCATACAAAGGCTGATAAGTCGATCATTACCGCGAAAGAGCTGGAGGGGATGCGGGAGAAATACCAGATTCCCGCAGAGGTAGAGTTGAAGCTGCCAGAATCAAAGGAGAGGGCATTTGATGCTCGACCGGGGGAGTTCGCCCTGTACGAGGAGGCGCTGAAGAGAGGGTTAAGACTGCCCCTCCCCCGGATAGTGGTAGATGTATTGAACCAGTTTGAGGTAGCCCCAGGCCAGCTAATGCCCAACGCATGGAAGATCTTGCTGGCTTCTGCGAGTGCGTGGCCGAAGGCGAACTGGGGGGCTGAAATGACAGTGGACGAGTTTTTTGCGTGCTACAAGGCGTCAGGGCAGCAGAAGACTTGGGTTACCTTACAGGCAGCAGCAGAGAAGGGGTTGGTGGCGGCGCTACCGTCGTCGATCAAAGGGTGGAGGCCGCGGTGGTTCTATGTGTCCGCCAATTGAGGAGTTGGGGTGCGTACAGTTTGGAAAGTGCCTACCAAATCGATGAAGCTAAGACTGGGGGCAGCAGTGGAGGAGAAGGTGAAGAGGGTGCAGGAATGGCGAGAGAAGGAGGGGGCCAAGTGGGACGAGCTTGTTCAGCCGTCAGCCTTGTTTGCGGCAGGGTTGGGTCCTCAACCGAACAGTGGAGACCTCGACCGGGCGGAATTAGAGGCGAGAAGGAAGGCACAAGAGGCGGAGGATAGGACCATCCTCGCCCAAGCCAGTAAGTTCAAGGAGACACAGGAAGACCGACCGCATAAGTCGATCGGGCGGGAGAGGATCCGACTGCGCCCAAAATCGCTGGAGAAAAAAGACTTGGGTGAATCTGAACCACGACCGCCCCCGATTGATCCTTTGAAACAGAGGGCCAATGAGATGGACAGTGTGGGGAAGAAGAAAAAAAAGGTGAAGAGGAGTGAGGGGGAGCCTGCCTTGAAGAGGAGGAAGGAAATGACGGCAGAGGAAACCCTCATGGCCCAGGAGGCAGAGGAGGAGGGAGTGGGGGAGGCCCTAGGAGGGGTGGTTGCCTCAGGAATGGTGGAGGTCGCCTCAGAGGTCGTAGAGGTCGTCCCCGTAATAGTGTCGATCGCCCAAGAAGTTCAAGTAGAGGGTGGGGCAACTGGCCCTGAGCCAAGGATAGAGGAACAGCCCCAAAGGGGTCCTGCGCCCCAAGGAGGGGGGGCCAGGCTGACGACTGCTATCTACCACGCCCGCACGGTGTCTGGGCGGCTAGAGGGAGAAGAAGGCCCAGCCAGGGCAGCTGCAGATCGCCTTGTGGGGATAGTGGATGATGCAACCGTTCGCTCAGTGGCCAAGTTCAATGAGGCTGAGCTGCTAAGGGGGTTATGCTCTGCCCAAATGGAGGTAACCACCTTAGTTGGGGCTCTGTTGAGAAAGGCGACGGCTGCAAAGGTTAAGTCGGATGAGGCCAAGGCTTAACTTGCAAACTTCAGAAGTGAGAGTGCATGGTGGAAGAAGGATGCGCGAAGCGCGTGCTCCAGAGGTTGGCAGGAAGCTGAAAGAGCTAAAAAAATGCAAGTGTTGGCCATTGTTCACCGCAATGTTACCGACCGAGCCCAAGTTGAGCTGATCGCGGTCAAGTTGGAGCTAGAAGATGAACACCGCCAGGTTGTGTCGCTCAAGTTCCAGCTGGCTGGCAAGCAGAAGAAGCTGGAGGGGGCTCAAAGGGCCTACGCGGTCGCTATTGAGCGGCATGAAGAGGCTATGACCAGCAATGAAGAACTGCGCGCCCAGTAAATTAAAGAAAATGATGAAGTAGATGTAAAGATTGCTGGGTTGCAGAAGGAGCTAGAAGACGAGCGTGCTAAGGCAACGGAGGAGAGGGCGAGCCTGCAGAAGGAGTTGGAGGAAGAGAGGGTCAAGGCGGCCTCTGAAAAGGCGAGCCTGCAGAAGGATTTGGAGGAAGAGAGGACCAAGGCAGCCTTTGAAAGGGCAGCATACCCCGATCTGTATGTCGCAGCAATTGAACAATTCAAGGGGTCTGCTGAATTTCAGATGGCGATCGATGCCGCGGTCGCCAGCAGCGTGGTGAGGGAGCTGTCTGGGGGGTCAGGCTCGTCTGGAACGACCGCTAGAGGCAGGACTGAGGCGGAGGTTATTGAGGGCTTCCAGCGGTCAGACTTCTATAAGCACGAAATGGCTGAGTTCTGGGACATGACAGTGGACGAGTTTTTTGCGTGCTGCAAGGCGTTAGGGCAGCAGGAGACTTGGGTTACCCTGCAGGCAGCAGCAGGGAAGGTGTTGGTGGCGGGGCTGCCGTCATCGATCCAGGGGTGGAGGCCACGGTGGTTCTATGTATCCGCCAAT